CCCCGACACGGAAAACAGCCCTCCTCCTCCGCCTCCTCCTCCGCCGCCGCCGCTCAACCCATCCACAAACCCAAACCTCCCCCTCCGCCCCGCCGCATCCAAATCAACCCCCAGACGAGAGAGGTTCTCCCGCCAGAAGGGCAGGTCGCGCAGGAAGCTCACCAGGAGAACGGCTACCTCCCCTTCGTCGCCTGGCGCCGGCTGGTGTGAGTTTTGGTGTCGTTGTTGTTGTTGTTGTTGTTGGTTATGTGGTGAGGGCGCTGCTGGTTTGAGGAGGGCGTGCAGGTGGCGCAGGACGAGCCAGTTGGTGCTGGCGCCGAGGACGCTTGTGAGTGTGATGAGGGAGGATTCGGGTGGGAGGGCGAGATGGGGTTCGAGAAGGTGGGGGATGCGGGATGTCATTTTTCTTTTTTTGTTCTCTGTGAGATGGCGTGGTGTTTTTAGTGAGTTTTATTTACTTGGGGGTTGCTGCTCCAAAGTGACTGTAAGGTACTCTGGTGGTGGTGGGGTAGCTCGGGAGGTCAAAAAAGTATGGAGGGGCTGTTAGGGAGGGGGGCTACAGTGTGAAAAGGGGGTTGTGGGAACTGTGTTTGAGCCCCTGAGAATTGCAAGATCTTGAAACATATCATGTATTCCATTCCATGTAATGATGCGCTACCCATATGTATCATGCCATGCGTCGTGAATCGTGTAATCGATCATCCAACCCTGAAAGCAAGTCTACCCAAAATGCCAACGAATGTGCTACCGATGCAATGCTAATTATGCAAAGAGTGATAAGGAAAATCAAACGCCGTAAAATATCAGGGGTATCAGTCCAAAACCAGACTTGCCCAAAAGTATACTTAGAAACGCTCCATGAAGTTCTTGCGCACCGTCCACATGCGCAGCCGCTTGCCGTAGATGTACATGGGGATGGTAAAAAGCAGCAAGATCAGCTGGATGATGCCGATCCAGATGTACACGGCCTTGGGCCCGTCATCTGACAGCCATCCGGTCACGAACAAGCTAAAAACCAGTCCGTGCAACACGTTCTTGCTGAAGTTCAGTGTGACCAGGGCTTCGCCTGCGTACTGTCGGTAGCTGTCGACACAGAACGTGATGCTCGTCGTTGAGCCCATGGTGCAGCCAAACGAGATGATACCGAAGAAGGCCGTCGGCACCATCCAGTGGTTGTGGATCTGGGCGGACCAACCAAAACCCATGAGACCAATAACAGTCGTGATGGCGATGGGGATGGCCATGACCAACCTGTACTCGGGCTCGTACAGGCCGCCGTTCCGTCGCGCCATTGCCTTGACAATGACATCTGAAACCCTGCCCGCCACCGCGGAGCCGAGGATGCCACCGATGAAGGGGCTAATGTAGACGAGACCCGTTTGAAGCGCGTTGAACTCGTAAACCCCTTCGCGGTAGATGACCGCCACGGATTCCGAGATGACAATAAGCCACCCAACCGAGCAGGCGTACACTACCGAAGACCAGAGAACAGCAGGGTAGCTGAAAAGGATCAGCGGCCTGAGGGCAACCTTGTGCCACTTGTCCTTGTTCAAACGCCCGTTGTACGGCTTGAGCGATTGAGTGAAGGAACGGGCCGGCTGGTCGCGCAGGGCTGCCGTGTAAGCCAAGTGACCGGTCGTTTGGTAGCTGTGGATGGATTGTGATTCCGTGTCGGTGTCGGGGTGTAGGCTGCGAGCAGCATTGGGGTGGAGTGAGGGTGTCTCGGGCGTCTTGGGCGTCTTAGGTGTCTCGGGCACCTGCAGCTTGGTGGGAGAAGGCGGTTGAATGGTAACAGTTGCTGGGAAATACTCCTCCATGGGGGCGGGGTCCTGGGTAGCCGCCTTCTGGTCACTAGCCGCCGGTGCGTTGTCGGCGGCTTTTTCTGCTGCGGACCCGCTCGCGGATGATTCGCTTGACGTGTCGGCAAACTTCACCTTCTCCTCCGGAGCGAATGCGACGTGTTGGCCTTTCGCGCGTGTGCCCGGTGTAAGCGGCGTGGTCGGGCCATGCTCCGGGCGTTCGAATGATGGCCGCGCGGTTGGGATTGGCGTGGCATGCAAGACATCCGGCCTAGACGAGAAGCGTCGGAAGATAGTTGGCCTCGACTTTGACTTCTTGAGCTTCCGAGGTTGGGGGGCGCGGTCCCAGAATGTCTCAGGGACGAAGAAGAACAGGAGGAAGCCACAGAAGGCGACCACAATAGCGACAATCCTAAGATACAGTTAGAGTCTGGCTGACCGGTTGAGTTGGCTGGGGGAAGGCATACCAAAATACCCAACGCCATCCCATGCTCTGGATGATGCCAGCGCTAACCAAGGGAACAAGGTTCTTGCCGCCAAGCAGAAGGAGCGTATAGATTCCGATCCGGAAAGCACGCTCGTGAAGGAAGAAGATTTCGGCAATCGTCGCCGATGGCAGGCATTCGACCGGGCTGACTGCGATGCCCTGGAAGATACGGGCTAAAACGAGCGAGGTGAAGTTGGGCGAGAGGGCGCACCAAATCGAGGTGGCCATGTACAGTACAGCACCGAAAAGGTAGACTGGCCGCTTTCCCCACAGAATGGCGGTAGGGGAGAAGATGATGGACCCAAGACCCATGCCCAACATGTAAAGGCCGGTGGTGAGCGAGACGTCGTGTACATCAACACCATACTCCTCGGCCACGTCTGTAAAGCCGGCCGCAAGCAAGGGGGTGGTGCCGCCACCCACCATGCAGAAGAGCCCCAACGATAGCAGGGCGATGTCTCGCCGCCACGCGGGCCAGTTGAGCGGGTCGTTGGCCGAGTCCTCGGGCTGAGGGTCCAGGATGATCTTGCCATCCGGGGTCTTCTTCTTCGGAGCTTCTTGCGGTTCATCCGGCAGCTGGTTGATTACGCCAGTAGGGATAGACGAGTGGGATGTCCTTGCCGGAGCATTCCGTAACCCAAGAGGTTCATTGTGGTCAGATGCTAGCAGCAGTACGGAGCCTGTTCGAAGTGGTTAGCCTCCTCGATTACCAAGATATGGGATGATTTTCCAGAGCCAGTGTCAACGGCGTACCTGGGACTTCGATTGTCTCCTTGTCCTCCAATATGCCCAATGTCCATTTGGAAGGGGTTTTCTCGCGAGAATCCTGCTCTCCATTAGACTTCCGGGAGAAGAGAGAACCCCATGGCCGCCGCGGCGGAGAGGTCTGTGCTTCCTGCCCCATATCTCGTCGGGAGGTGTGGTTGTGTTGTTACAATACAGCCCGAGATTTGGATGTAGACCAAGGATAGAAGAGCAAGGTAGGAACAAAGGTCAATGACCAAGGTGGTGAAGGGGACGTAAATATAAAACAATGCCCAGGCGGTGTGAGGCTGAGTATTCTGGAGGGAGTTGGTTCGAAATGCGGGCTGACAACGGGACCACTGTGTTGCAAACCGAATCCGGGAGGTGTGTGGGTGGTCTGTCAAACCGCAACTGAGACCAGCGAGGTCCAGAACTCCTACCGCCTCGGGCCCTGATGCCTGCTTGGTTGTGGGCTGGGAGAGATGGGGGACGGGAAGCGATGGGACGATGGGATGAAGGAGGAGAGGAGGAGGGGAGGCGAGGGGAGGCGAGGCGAGAGGCAAGAAGTCGAGATATAACGACACCAAGACCATAAGCGTGTGGTAGGTCACCTTAGCCCCCCAACCAGCAACAACCAAGCGTGGGGTCAGCTTGCGCCAGGGTTCGTCTCCAATTCCCCATCCTCTACGGCATGGGTGGTTTCGCCAAGAAGTAGCCAAGAAACGCCTCGAGGAAAGCGAGCACCTGGGGTTCGGTCATGGGGACGGCGGGGTTCAGCTGCAAGTGTGTGCGTGCGGGTGTGTGTCCTAGCGAGTTGACTCGCTGTGACGCGGAGGTTGGGAACAAAACAATGGAACCCCGGACTTGGGACTCTTGGGTTTGGATTTGCTGGGGCTGCACGGACTTGCCAGTAATGCCGGTCGATTTGCCTGTGCAGGCGGCGAATCTGCAGCGCACCAACATGCAGAAAATCAGGGAAAGAAAGCACCTGCTCCCCGTCAAATCGGACAGGGCGGCGCTGCCTTGAGTGCCGGAGTGCTTGTCAAACTGGCAAAGCAGACGGCGCAGTTCTCAGACAAAGGAGCAGCAGTTCGTGACCTTTTTTGCGACAATGTAGGCTGGGATAACCCCGTTCTCGAAGACTTTGGACGAGTCCCCCTTAGTTACCCCTCGCGTTTTTTTGCCACAGAGAGGAGGTCAGTTTCGGGAGAGGAGGAGAGCAAAAGGACCCTGAAAGTCGGGCTATTCTGTGGATTTCCAGGTTGTATGGTTGACCTCCCTGCCTTCCCCCGGGAATGCCGCGAATATGCCCCACCGTCGCCCCCAACTCGCCCAACCACTGCGGGAAGTTGTTGCTCTGATGCTGCACCTGGTGACGGTGGGGCAAGGCAAGGCTGCCTGAGGATTCTCGTCCCCCGCCTCACATGCGCACATCTCCGTGGATCGCCAACGCTTGTTCGCGCCGCATAGACCGCATCCGGGCTACCGCCGTTGGGAGCGAGCATCGATAGGACCCTTGAATGCAGAATGACGATGCCAAGCCCGTGACGAGCTGCGACGCCGTGATCCCGGACAGTCAAAACACAAGCACTGCAGTAGGCACATGCCGCAATGAGCGCCAACATTTTAAGTGGTTCTATTAATACCCAAAACGGACAGGAATCGCAGCCGAATCCTGTATCACTGGAACACCACGACATCTCACCGCTCATCTGACCGTGGAGATCCATTTTATGGAGTTGCCCAGAAACTGCCCAGAAATTGCCCGAGATTTTCGCTTGCATCCCCCGAATTCATCAATGTACGTGTGTGCAGCAAGCTGCGATGCGCGCCAAGGCCGTCCCCGCAGCGCGCTTGGAACTCGCACGTGGGGGTGCTGGTTGGTTGCATGTAACGTTAGCGGGAGGTTAAACTCTCCGATACGGAATTATCATGTTGTAATTTACGGGCGTCGGAATCCGACAGAGGGGTCCACAGGTGGTAGTAAATGTCGGGAGCGAGGGTTAGTGACCTCATTTTCGACATTGTCTACCCAAGGTAAGTGGAAAGTTCTCGCGTCAACCGCATAACGGCATCTCATTCATCCAAATCTCACCTGCTGCATGCATACAGAGTACATACCTACATTACCGCTGTACGACAACTCACAATAACAATCCAATAATAATATGCAGCTTCTCAGCTCGAGGATCGCGTTTGCGGAGCGCCATCTCCTCAAACCAAAATTCATTATCAAACCCGTAGGCAGCCAATCCGTGTCAAGGCTGTGTTTCTCAACGTCACGCCAAGTACGAGCCTCGAATCAGGTTTACGCCTCGTGAGTCCGAGTTGTGCCTCATGTCTTTCGGTCGATCGGCCGGAACCTAACACACATGCCAGCGTTCGCAACCTCGACCAGTTCCACACTTACCAGCTCCTGTCTTCTTCCTCACGGACACCGCTGCTGACCCTTTGGACGACCTCGTGGTGCTCCACCTGCCGCATCGTGGAACCCCTGATCCAAGAGCTTGTCAAGTCTGGCGTTGGTGAGGCCGAGGGTGGCGTGGGCTACTGCACCGTCGAGTTTGACGCCCCAGATGTCATGTCGGCCGGGCTAGGTCTTACCTACATGATCAACTCTATCCCGACATTACTGAGTTTTGACGCGGGGGAAGCGCAGGTGCAAACCAAGGTCTCTGACGGGAGGAAACTGGCAGACCGGCAGTTCCTCGAGGAATGGATCAGGAACGAGGCGAAACGGCAGGGTAACCGTGGGGGTGGCGGACCAAGTGGCGGGTCCAACCTTCTTGGTAGCATTTTCGGTAGACGATCATGAATGATCCTTTGGCCGATGCCAGTATTGTGATAGTTAGCGCAGAGCTGGGCGTATGTTCTATCAATCCGCGGCTAGCTCGACCGGGTAAGACGACTAACTCTCTCCGGACCTACCTTAGTGTACGCTATGCAACCCCCCCGATCTTCGTCGGAGATAGCAGAGAGCGAACACATTACAGGTAGACAGCGTGTATCTACACCACGCAGTTGTCGATAGATTATCAGCAGCTTCTTCCGGCCCACGACGTTGGCCTAGACCGCAGCCTATCCTGCGGTACAACCAATAAATAGCGTTGGCATCGGGTTCATCTGAGACAACGGGAAGCTTAATATCCACCTCCACAGCCGAGAAGTTCGAATGAGACATGTATCGTGTCTGATGGCCTATCGAAGCTTCGCACAACCTTCTTTTGCCAGCGATCTCGTTGCTCGCCGCCTCGGGCCAAGCCCCGGCTCGTGTCCTAAGTGAGACCTGCAGGTCAACAAAGAAATCAATGTTATGTAAGTGTTAACCGTTGCTTGAGATTGAGATATCGCAGTAAACCACCGATACCGCCTTCTTTGTGAGACAGGACCGATGCCATCAGCCAAATTACCACTCTCGCAAATGGCAACGCGCATACTGGGCAGCCGAGTTGTCCGAGAGACCCCCCGAGCCACCCCGAGTCTTCCCCGAACACCGTAAACACTCTGTAGAACACATCCCATGTGTGCGCCGAACTCCTAAACCTCGCCTAGCCGGCCCTTAGCCCATCCCGCCCAATCGAACCAATACCTTACCATTCCCCATTACGCCCATTGTAACCCCCCAAACCATGACCATGTTAGACACCGCCCGTAGAGCTCCAAACAAACCCCCGAAAACGGCCCGACCAAGCCGCTCACCCTTACTGCAAATCCAACACCTGCCTCAGCACCGTCTCCGACGCTCTATACCAGCGCCCCTTCGCCTCCAACTCATCCTCAACCCCGCCCTGCGCACCCTCCCTCCTCCTCTTAGCCTCCCTCGCCGCCGCCTGACTATTCGCCTTCCGATTCTCCAGCACGCCCACCTCCCCCCTCAACCGCTCCAGCTCCTTCCTCTTCCTCGGCACCTGCCCCCCCACCACTTCCACCTCCCTCTCCAACTCCCTTAATTCCCCCCTCCTCCCCTCCACCAACGCCCTCGTCTTCCCCAACGGCATGCTCATCTCGGGCCCCACCCCCCGCAGCCCTCAACAACTGATGCTGCGCCCTCAAATCCCTGACCCTCTCCTCCAGCCCATCAATCTCCGCCGGCAGCGCCCTCAACACCCCCAGCTCCTCCTGCACCGCCTCGTACCGCGCCGTCAGCGCGCGCCCACGCGCCTCCAGATCCGCCACCATCGCGGCGACCTCGGTCTTGAGCGCCTTGAGCGCGGCCTTGGCGTCGGCGTTGGCGGCCTCGAGGTCGGCGTTCTCCTGCGGCGACACGATCTGGGGCGGGTCGCCGACGATGGCGCGGATAAATTTTTCCTTGGTGACTTGTTCGACGTAGGAGAAGCGCAGTTTGGAGAAGAGCTCGCGGTAGTGGGCGAGGTCGGCTTCGAGGGAGGTGGGGGTCGGCGCGTCGAGCGAGGCGGTCGATACGTCGGAGGTGCGGGCGAGGGTGGTGGGGGCGGCGGCGGTGGTGGTGGTGGGGTTGCTGTTGGGGTTGTTGTTGGAGGAGGAGGAGAAGATGGGCTCGCTGAGCTTGATTATCGTGTATGCGTCACTGCCGTCGCCTGAGGCGGACTGGAGGTCATCGAGGGCGCGGAGGACTTTGGCGGCGCGTTGTTGGTCCGGTTTGTTGGGGGAGGAGGTTGGAAGTAACATGGTGCCTGATGTGCCGATGGCCTTTTGCCTTATGGGTTATACCAGTGTCTGCTCTGTCGCCGTGGTGTTTGATGCTCGGATCGCCAGATGTTGTTTTGTTGACGAGGTTGCCAAATTGGGACAGTGGGGTGTTGAGAAAGGTGACCCTAACCCTCGCCGTATCTCCGACACGCAAGCGGCAGATAACACCACATCCCTCTCGCAATCCCTTGCTATCTAATACATTTGGGATACCGAATACTTTTACAACAGTCTACCATTTTTTGATTACTATGCTAGCCCGCTGTTGACTGAGTGAAGCATAATGAGCCCGGCACAGCCGTGCTATAGGAGTAATAACCCACGAACAGCCTCAACATAAAACTAACTGTACTCGTCAATACTAAAAAAATCGTCTATTGACATTAGGACGAAGACAAGTAGTACTCCTGCCGCCGATAGCAATCGCATCCCTATATGAATGCGCCGTGATGTCCTCGCCTGTTGGCAGAGGCCCGTCTTCAACACTTGAAATGACGGGAGAGACCGGAGCAAACAGCCCAAGGAGAATGTCAAACAGTACGCCCTCCCAAGAAGACAAGCCCAGAAATCATAGTACAGTTCAAGCGCCGCCACCTAATTTTCACCCTCTCTTACCGACATGTTGCCGCCGCAAAATGCTCACAGCCATCTAATGCAGCCCTTCCACAAGCGAATAGGGTTGGTTCTTCATATACCCGTTTCCGTACTTGGCCGTGATCTCCTCGCCGTCATTGATATCCCTCAGGGCAATAAGCATCACCCTCCACCGTCCGGTGATCTTCATGGTCTTAAACGCGGCCGATGGGTTCGTGCTGTGGTTGACCTTCCGCACCCAGTTGCCCATCCGGGCAGGGTAAATCTCGGCCACTGCTTCGTCCTCCAGGTCTGGGCGGCAGAGCACCATGGACCAGCCAGGGGCGCTGGTGCCCAGCGGCAACAGCTCGCCGACCAACTCGCCCAGGATAACGTGCGCTTTGTGGTGCCCCACGGAACGGACGCCGGGTCCCTTAGAACCGTCGTCTAGAATGCGGGGAACCTGCGGCACGTTGATCTCGGCGCAGCGGCAGTAGTTTTGTGGGCAAAGACCGCAGAAGGCGTCGCCAGGCATAACAACGCTGGGGTCGGTCGGCCAGAACCAGTGCCATCTCGCCGGCCGAGGCCAATGGGACCTCTTGTGTCCGTCGTAATGGTTTGCCTTGAGGAGGCGGAACGACACCAAAAGGGGCGAGATCTGATCAACAGGAAGCCAGGTGGTGGTGGTGCTCTCCCAGATAAACTCCGGGAGCTCTAAGCATTCCCAGATGGACTTTTGTAGGACGGCGCCCGCGCCGCACAGTTTTCGCACAAAGTCGATGTCGAGCTCGGCATGGAACCGAGCGATTTCATCCTTGAACAACGCGAGCTCCATACAATCCCAGTCGGCACCCATGAGGCAGAGAAGGCCGTCATAGTCCCCGCAAACCGTAGCCCAGCATTTGCCTTCTCGCAAGTAGTCGTGTAGTTGCGGGCGCCTCGATTCGTCCCATCCCAGCGTCTGCAGCATCCCGTTCATGAAGTTATGGGGCGAGAGCTCCCCAGGTTGCGCCATGGCGTGTTCGACACACATTGCCACCTTCATCTTGAAGAAACGCGCAAGGAAGAGGTGCAGTTCTGGATAGCCATGGGCCGTGTCCTCAACTGATCTAGCGAGCCCGAACCTACCCAGGACCACGGGTGCCAGCTTGGAGTATCGTCTCCATTCTCGGACCAGTTGCGCAAGACGATCGAATGCTGCTTTACCGCAGAGTTTCTCGGCAGCTAATCTCCCAGCCCGGCCAGATTCGCGGTCTTTCAACATCGTCGAGAGGTGTTCAAAGGCAGCGGTGACGGACCGGTCTTGGGTTCCCGGTGTTACTGGGGATTCCAGTCTTTGCTTCTTTAGAGGCCGCGAAACAAGCCCGTCATCCTCTCTATCGCGATTTATCATCCTTGCCGTTTTCCGTAAAGGCGTCAACGCTTCCGTCCCAGTTCTAACGTCTCCACGATAGCTCGGACTCTGCAGTCTGAGGGGAGGGACTTGCGGGATGATTTGGGCGGATTTCGTGACAGCATCCGGAATGGGGCGTTTTGTCTCTGGTGGAGAGAGAATCCCTCCCCTATTACCCTCTTGTGATGCCATATTGAGTTGCTCAGGAGCTCTGGGACTAGCTGGCATGCTTTGTTCCGAAGAAATGCTTGAGAGTGAGGTGAATTGCGAGTCCGGCGGCTGGGATTCTTGTACAACATTGCTCTGGGACTTCGATGGAGGCAGCTCCTCATCACTGTTACTTGGGGTATTCGCCGATTGAGGTCCTTTGTGTGTTTCAGGAATTGGTTGCGATGGCAACTGTTTCGCCAATTCCTGCTTGGCCGGTGCATTGCTTTCCGGAGGAGGGGTGGCTGATTGTATAGGCCGTAAGGCCGCCTCAGCTCGCAAGTTAGCAACATGGTCAATGGCTTGGGATGGGCGCCCGTCCTGCGATCCCGTGGTATCCGGGGTGCGAGGTAGTTGCTGTTCAGCAGGGACCGACGGCTGCTCGTCATAGATTCGAAAGTCGTCCGCAGACATGGCGAACTTATCAGGGCAGAGCCGATCGCAAAACTTGTAATCCGGGGGCATGTCCGGGGACGAGTTGTACTCCAGGTTGATGGCGATGGCGTAGTTGGGCCCAAGGTTCAAAACCTGGTGATACGTCCCCGGTTCCGTCACGACGGCTTGCCCCGGTACACAGTAATCGAGCGTGTATTCGACGCCCCATTCGTCGAGCTTGGCCGGTGGGATGTGGCGGCTGAGGTGCCTCACAGCCTGTGAGCATCGGCGCATTTCAGGATACTCGATGGCCATCCTCTCTTCCAGTTTCTTGGCGAAGGCAGGTTTGATGAAGCACCAAAACTTGTGCTGCCCAGAGCGGAGGAGGTTCTCGGACCGCACATGCGCGTCCTCCCTGTGCATCGTTGTGATGGTCTTGCCCGTGAGGTTGAAGTAGACATATTGCGTGTTGATGCCCTCGAGTACGGTGCGCCCTCTGCGCCGTAGCTTCTCGCCAGGAGAAAGCTCGACGTCCTGAAACAGCGGGTTGCCGATGATATACGGCCGGTTCCCCTTGGGCGGTTCCGCGGCGGAGGAATTCCAGAGTTCCTTTTGCTCTGCCAGGGACCAATCCATCTTAGCGCTCATGGGCAAAGGGAGATGTGGTGAAGTGAACTTAAACCTCTTTCCGGTATCGACCTTTACGAGGCCGAGTCGGTCGGACTTGTAACTGAATGAAGTCGCATGGTCTTTGCTGGGACGAGCCACTTTTTGCACGTCGAGTGGTGGGAGGCCCCGGACTTGGAGCTTGAAATATCCCACATCTCGGACGGTAGGGTGGCTCGAGTACATCTCCAGGAGCTCCTCGTTCAAGATATGGATGTCTTGGTAAGTGCAGTCAAAGAGGGGTGACGCATGGCCAGACGGCAATGGGCTTTTATAAACAGAGCCATCACTCAATGTGATCCCACATGGGGGGGAGCGCGGGAGGGGGCAACCCTGGCTTGTGGCGGAAGGAGCCGCTGGGATGGGTGGTGAGAGAGCCAATTCGGGCTCCGCTTTTGGAACTGGAACCGAGGAGCGATCGATGGCCGAGCGATCGTTAGTGTTGTGGTTTTGGTCGGCCTGCGACGTTTGACACTCAGGTTGTTGGCCAGCGGGTTGTTCGTTATCGGGTTGTTGGTCGGCGGCTTGTTGACCAACCTTTTGTTGATCAGAAGGTTGTTGACCAACGGGCCGTTGGTTTGAGGGCGAAAGAATATGTTGTGAGGCTGGAAGAGTACTGGATGATGATGGAGGTGTGTCGAGTCCGTGAACCGCCGACGGGGAGGATGAGACGTGAGGTACGGCTAACTTTCGTACATCATCCAAGCCGGCGTTCACCTGGTGGAGGCGACCTAGGAAATGTTGCAACAGGTCCCGTCCTGCCTTCGTTTTTGGCGGCTGCACCTTGCGACCCGACGTAATGCCGTGATCAAGATACCCTCTCAGGGCATCGCTGATCTGGCTCACCTCGCCGCTGATGGAATCGACCTTTTGCTGGAGGGCGTCCATCTTGGGTGCCACGAGGCAGTGGTGAATTCAGAGATGGAGGTGCCGCAATTGATTGGAGATGTGGCAGTCGTGCTCGATGTGGAAACTGCCGTCTGGCAATTCGCATTTGTCGCTAACTATAGTGGGGGCCGCCTGAGGGGCTTCTAAAAAGCATGTCCACATGGGCCCGTGCCCGTGTCGAATGGAGGGGCACCCAGCCTCCTTTTAGGCGCTTGTGGAGGTTCCATGGCTTGGTACCCCAAAGGGGAGCCCGTTGCCTGTGTGGTCACTTTCCAATGTCGGGACTGCCGCATCACGGAAGTCTTTCATAGCGTTGCCTGGGCTCGACGGGAGCTATGGATTTGTGAAGTTAGAGAGACCGAACCGCAATTGTGAAGAGTTCACAAAGCAATCATCCTCAAAAACATCAACTTTTCTATATCGGGAGATCACTTTTGTTCCTCTTTGTACTCCATAAGCGACTTCATCGATGGTGCTTGCATTGTATGTAATCGCTGGGTGTTCAATGACGTTTGTGGTCCCCAAAAACACGGGTTTGGGACTGCTTGAGCAGTGCTTTCCGGGTCATTGACAACCTGGGTACCTTAGGATGGAATGCCGCACAGCGTCTCAAATTAGCGACATGGACAAAAAGTAAGGTATGCAACCTAACCTCTATACCGAGTAAAAACAGCCAAGATACCATACTCATATGTGGAGACCGCGCTGGTTCTGGAAATGGCTTAGGTACCTCCCTTGCTCCTAAATACAAAAGTACCGACATACCTCAATTTCATGTTGTCTTTGGGTTACTTCGACCTCTGAGTGGTGTCTGTGGAGCGAAGATCCCGCATGGGGTTCAGCGGGAACGATTGGCGAGTGGAGCTTATTGATACGGAACTCAAAAGCGCTTCCCCGTGACAGACCTGTATCTCCAACCCCAGCTGCATACACTTACTTCAACCACGGGTCCGCCTTAGAAATTCTCCTTCTGTATATTTTCCAACCACCCATTTAGTTTTACTGGCCGATATGGAAGCGCGCCATTTCGACCATGATACCATCTTGACTGACGACGCCGTCGCGGAGCTGATGGCAAAAGAGGCGAGCGACACGGCTATCAAGTACTCTTCAATGGGCCTTGGAGCGTTCAGGTCGACGAAGTCAGTACTCCCGGGTCCGGCGCGGTCGAGGTTCATTGGACTCCGGTAACTCATGTCACACAGACCGGCGAACAAGGCGAAGCCCAACACGCGCTTCCTGGGGCGGATCATCAAAGAGACGACGAACCACAATGCCGCACTCCTAGCAAGAGAGGCCGCAGAAGCCCAAGCACGACTCAACAACTTAACCGAAGCCGAGGAGAAGAAAAGGCGCAAGGTTAACCCCAGTGCCTCGGACCTAAGACGCCGACAACTGGGCGACATATCCTCAATTTTGCAAGGGCGAAAAAAGCCCAATGGAGCTGAACGGGACGAGGGCCGGAGGAAAAAAGACGAGAGGCGAGACAAAGAAGAGACAAGAGACCGCTCCCGCGATCGGGATCACCGACGCAGCAGGCACAGCACGCGGCAAGGGGACAAAGAGGAGGGGCAGCGGTTGCGTAGAAAGCACGACGATCGAACAAGGGATGAACACCACCGCCGCCGAGATAGGTCACGCTCGCCGCGACAGAAGGGATCGTAAGCACCGCGATCGGTCACCGCTCAGCAGTAGCGACGACGACTGTCGGTTGCGCCATTCAAAGTCGCGGCGGGGCAAGTCCGGCAAGGATCGTGACCTGATGGCCGGCGAGTCATCTCGGCGCAAAAGCTACGGACGGCTACTACAGAAAAACGACGAATTTACAACCACCTCCAAGACTAGCGGGCTGGCCGAGGGAGACGAGTCCGATCCACTCGAGGAGCTTATCGGTCCAGTGCCACCGTCAGAAGCCCCTGTCAGGACACGTGGAAGGGGTGCCGTCCGAGGCGCCGCGGCAATGGATGGTCGGTTCTCCGAAGACTATGACCCAGCCTCTGATGTCCAACCAGAGGAGCCGACCGCGACCGAAGACTGGGATGAGGCGGTTGAGACATTCCGCGACCGGCAGAAATGGAAGCAGCAAGGCGCGGATAGACTCCGCGCCGCTGGTTTCACAGAAGAGCAGGTCAAGCAGTGGGAAAAGGGTGGGGAGAAGGACATTGATGATGTGCGGTGGAGCAAGGCCGGCGAGAAGCGCGAGTGGTAAGTACTGGCCCTCCTCCCTGAGATCGAGGCCGGGGCCTAACGCAGTGATTAGGGATAGAGGCAAGGAGGGTAGCGGTGCTTGATGATTATGATGGTTGGATTATGTGCATCTTGACGGCGTTTGGTATAAACCGGACGGTTTGGGGTAGTTGCATTTGTATGTTTAGGTCTCATGGCAATGGGTTGTTTAACGGCTCTGGAAAATGGGTGGGCTCTGGATGTTTGTTGGGAAGGCGTAGGCAAAACAAACGGCTGTGGCATCGGGACAACATTTTCTTGCGCATCGTTTTCTGGCCGAATCTAGACATGACTTGGTCAATTCAAAGTGCCGTGGTGCCAATATCAGACTTCCGCATTTGGACCCTGTTATTCGTACAGGTCGATAGCCAAACGGCTCAGTGATATACATGGATATGTAGTCGGCTGTTGCCAACGCAGTAGACTGCCAAAGTCAAACCGCAACAACCGCAACAACCGCCCCCGGCTCGCCTGTTCTTGACCCAATCTCGGGTGTAGCCCAGCGCCTTCAGGAATCGTTCTCCATACAACCGTGATATATCCTCCTCTCGGCTCATTTATCTACCCAAGCGACCTTCTGCCCTTGTTTGGTCTTCAGCTTCCCTTCCTTCGTGGTCGACGCATCCGCCGCTTCCTTGGGCTTGGATGACGACAACTCCAACACACTATCCGCCTCCTTCTCGCTATTCGTCGCCCACATGCGCTCGATGCACAGTTCGAACGGACCCGGTATCCTGTCGGTCAGTCCGATACCGATGGACTTGACCTTCTGGCGCATGATCTCGGTCTGCGGCTCGACGACAAAGCCGTAGTTGGTGCGCACAAAGTCGTTCCACTTGATCAGCACCGTCTCCCACTCCCCCGGCTTCTTGACAAAAAGCCGATGTTGGTGCAGGTCGGTGGGGACGACCGACTCTGTCTGTACGTTGATGAAGTAGCTGCGCCCGTCCGACTTGACGCGCAGCGCCAGGTACACGTAGGGGTCGATGTTGTAGAGGCTGCGCCCGAAGATGGTCGGCGGCCGGTCCCGTGTGCGGAAGGCCGCGTAGCCTGTTCGCTTGATGTCGGGTCGGTCTGGGGGGAGTTCGGTGGAAATGTTTCCGTGGAACTTAGCATAGCCGAGGGAGTTGGGGGATGGCCGCTGGATGTCGGAGGAGGCGGGCGGCGAGGGTATCCAGTCGAGGTTCGCTTTTGAGAAGCCGCCAATCTCTACGTCGGACATGAGTTTGCAGTCTTGTATCGATGTCGGGCTACGGAAGTTGTGGAGTTCGTAAGGGGCCGCGCCGCCCTTGATGCCTTCGAGGCTGAAAACTGTAGGTAGGTTTCCCGGTTAGCAACGCCGGATAGCCAGGGCCGAACCAATGGTCATCACATACCAATGTGGGAAAGCCTCTTGAACTCATCGACGCTGCGGCCAATGAAGCCCTTGAACAAGAGCGGCCGTGTGGCCTGCATGATGGGCGAGCTGCGGTGTTGGGGAGCGAGGGAGGGGATGCGACCGGAATCTTCTGCAGCTACCGGATGGATAATCTTCGGGTGGGCGAGAGCGCCAGGTGATTCAAAACCCTGTGCATGTCCCCAGGGCCATCGGCGTAGTCTATTTTTGGGAGTGAGCTCGGGGTGCCCAATCCGTCCAGTGCGATCTTGTCCTAGTGAAGCTTGTGTAGATTTTCTGGAACGTCATCAAGCACCCAAGCAGCAGCATTGACGACAGGGGTATCACAATCCCCACCACAGGAATTGTGGGTTTTTTGAGCTCGACCACATGCTTCAAGAACCAAAAGTCTACAATCATCTCCTACAAAGCAGTTCAAATCATCGTTCGGCCTGGTAAAATATAGAATAACACACATGGATATGCAACTCATTGGAATCGACATTTTATTAAATTTGCCTTAGTTTACCAGTGTCAAGAGTTGCTATGAATAGCAGTATTCCGTAAAACAAGTGACTTGATGCAATGAAAGGGCAGATCTTAACTTGAGAGAGGGAGGTAGTTTCGGCTCCCAATACATAATAGAAGTGGCATTGGTAGGTAGTTTCAGAAGCTTTGAGGAATAACCCCATGAGATCCAGCCTGGTGCCAGCTTCGACAAGTCCCAGGCCCTCCGCACAGCCAATCAGCCTCCATCCTTAGTTGTGCACGGGCCATATCTCTCTTTCTCTTGTGTCAGTCGTGAAAAGTTGTGAAAGTCGTGACATCCTCCAGAAGTGTCATATGTGTTGACCACCTGGCAAATAAACTGGGCCATACCTTTTAAAAAAAGTGGTATCCATGTTGTGATTCTACAAGTTTGTTGGGCTCACTATGCTGTGTGTCACTTGATTGAATGTTATTTATTTTCCTGATTTCCTCGTTCTCAGAGCCCATCACATCCAGTCCTTAGCAGTCTCCTGGGCCGAATAACCTTCTTTTGTACTGCAATGATTTCTCAATTCACAATTCCATGACATCCATCTTGGTATTGAGCTTTTAGAGCTTCAAAGGCCACTTCCATCCTCCATTGTCTCTGGGTTCAGCACGAATACGAAACGTCAAAGGTGATTTAAGTTTTAACCATAACTTTGAAACCCCGAGCAGCTTCAAAACCTTGTGATTCGAACTTTGATTCATTGGCTTCTGAACCAGCTCCCTGATAAACTGAAGTAGCATATCCTAATTTTGTGTGTTAGCTGTTGTGGCTTTCATTCCCAGTACCCGAGTTAGGTATATGTGTCGGCGTTTTGAAGACTGCCATCTTCTTTAGTTGCACTTACCACTTTCTAGAAATGTTTGACTCACTGGTGACCCTAATCACATTGGCTCACTCTTTACAACACTTTGTATTACCAGGCCATAAAAGAAGTCTGTGTTTATCTCAGATAGATTGGTATCCAGAGGGGTTCCATCCAATCCTCCCAAGACAGTCCCAACCATCACTTCCCAGTGCTTCAGTCGACACCCAACCTGATGCTATGGCCAACCAGGTGGTCACAAGTTGACATGCGAACGGTTCAAAGACTCCTAATTCTTGGCATGTCCGTTGACACGTTCCATGTTAAATATAGGTATCAAATGGACGCAATTGAGCACCCTCCCTAAAATATTCTCCTGTCCAAAATGCGACTCTCAAGAAGAGGACAAACAACAAACATCATTTGTGGTTCATGAGTAATGCCCCTTAACACATCCACACAACCACGTTCGCTCTGCTCCCCAGACCCCCTTAACTACTAGCCTAGACCTTCACACTACTGAGCATATCTGATTCCAATCATGCAAGACCTTAATGCCAGCCTGCGTCCTCTGAGTGACCCCGCCTCCCAACCGACTCTCTTGTGTTGCTTCCTGACCGTTGCCATGCCGAAATCAAGCAAGGCGGACCCGCCTGTGCTATTGTTGTCGCCGGCCGAATTAGCCCACAAGCAGGCCGGGCACGCCGAGCCCAGCTCCGGAATCAGCCTCCGAAAATCAACGACAACCGGTACCCCGTTCAGATCCTGCTCCGTCATTCGCCGCCGATTACACGTCAGATACTCCAGAGCCATTTTCCCCCATTCGCCGCTCCTATTATCTCAAGATAATTTGAGCTCCAAATCTGATTGTGCCCTCAATTTCTGGTGAGCACAAATATTAGAAATGTTTCTCATCTTCCTTTTCTTCCCTTCACCACACAACCCAAGACCAACATTGGAACACTTCCAGTTCCAAACTGCACTCCAAGGTGAGCAAGACACTCCCCTCACACCCTCTGCACCACCGCTTTGATTTGGAACGACCTTCCTGTCAAAGACACTCCCTCTCTTGGCTCTTTTCTCCTCTGTGTCTGCTTTTTCTGCATCTGGTGGCCACGCTCCAGTGCTGAATAGCAACCTGGGAGGAACTAGCCGTCTCTGCAAAGAGGCCAGTGCCTCAGCGAGTGCTGGCAGACTCCTCCAGAGTTAGGGCTTTCCGGCCTGAAACACGAGGTCGTCAGGCATCGCCAGCTTCTCAGGGTGCTCAAATCACCCAGCTACACCTTCCTCCCCTCCCCAAACATAAAGCACCCTCCCCTCTTCCAGTTCCTCTTTGACTTCTTCCCAAACTACCACACAATCCCCTCCAACACCGAGCCCGACTCGAGGTCCTCGATCCTCGATCAGGTTGACCGCCATCAGTAAGATCATCACCACTCCAACATCTTCCTCCCGCGCCTCCTTCTTTCCCCGTTCCCCTCTCTATCATCTCGCTGCTTCTCTTTTCGGGTCGGTGGTCAGACCAAAAAACATCAGGCCATCCAATCTCGCGCCTCGCGTCTCGCGTGTAGCGTTCGGGCGTTGAGCGATCTGACCTGAACACCAACCTTCCATCATCACAAAGCAGGAAGACCTGGCTCACCACTGTAACAGGTTCCCCATCTTACATCTCCGCTCCACAGATATTCACAACATTCTTCGCCCTTACCCAAAGCAACTATCATCCACTCCTTAGTGGAAAGCATCTCAACCTTCGACTTGACGACCATTAACTCGATTACTCCATCGCCAGTCACAATGTCTGGTATGCTTAGAGCAAACAGGGTTGGCGGCTCTGCCGGGAAGCTTCGTCGTGTCCGCTCCTTTAGCCTTAGCGACGCTTCTTCGAGCGGCTCTTCGGACTCCGACGACGGTAAGTTATCAATCTCTTTCCCTTCATTTTCCCTGAACGCTGCGTCTCCTGCAAGTCTCATTACAGCCGCTCGTTCACCCCACCTCGTGCTGTCTGTGGCGTGAGATTGGGGTCGCGAGTCGGGGACCGTTTTCGATGGCCTCGGCCACGAAAACGGTGCGAGACCTGACAATCACTCCTATGGGGCGCTTCACTCATCGCTTTTTTTGATCAAAATCGGCAATGCTGACACTCATTAGCCGGTGCCCGTCTGTCTGCTGCCAGCCTGGACGATTCTCCTCCCCGCGTTCGGTAAGCTGCTCTTGAGTCATTATGACAGCCTCTCTATTTCACTCGCTAACATCTACAAGATTCTCCTCCGTCACCGAAGAGATCGGTCATATGAGCATTACTTCGAGCACTGCGTCGGCCGCTTCTGACCGCGACACTCGGTAAGGCTCCCTTGTCCCGATACTTAGGGGGTGTCTGCTGACTTTTGCTGTTTAGATCTTCTCCTTTCCAAGTCGGCAACACGCCCGGCGGCGACATCTTCGAGTCGCCCCCCGCGAAGGCACCCCTGAAGCCAGTCCGGGCCTTCGCTACGCCTGTCATGCCGTCTAATAAGGATGAAATGGTCAAGGTTCCTGAAATCGACTCCGAGGAGCGACGCCTGACTGGTTCCGCGGCCACGTCGAACACCATGTCGTTGACGCCCAGCCAGCGCCCCCTCCGCACATTTTCCTCTCGACAGGAGATTGGCGGTATTGATGCCCAGGGCATCTACCCTCCCAGCGCTTGCGTATTCGTGGCCAAGTAAGTTCCTCTTGTCTTTCATTCTCGTCCCCGCTCAAAGACCAGCCTAACAATTGAAACCAACAGTCTTCCCGAGTCCAAGGACGACCGCGCCCTCGAAGCCGCTGTTACTCGCGAGTTCAGCCAGTTCGGCACTGTCTTCGTCAAGATCCGCCGCGAGGTCAAGGGAGGTGTCGCCGGCATGCCGTATGCTTTTGCCCAGTATACCGTGAGTTATCCGCGATCTCCTCATGGACTTCACTTTCCTGACACAGAACAGAATGACAATGATGCCAAGGTCGCCATCGACGAGGGTAGAGGCATCATGATTCTTGGCCGTCCTTGCCGCACCGAGATGGTCAAGGCCAACCGTAAGTACCGCAACTCCTCGTTGCTCTGAGCCCTCGCTGATCCAGGGTTTGTCTTTCCCCCACCAGGGACCTTCGTCATCTACAGCCGCCGCGGTGACGAGGTCACCATCGACACCGCCCGGGAGATCTTGGAGCCGTACGGTGAGCTCAGCAAGTGCGAGCTGCTCAGCACCCAGATGTGCGAAGCCATGAGCCTTCCCACCTCTGTTCTCGTCGAGTTCGCCAAGTTCGATCCCAAGCGCGATCTCAACACGGTAAGCCTCAGAGAGCCCGGTGCCACATCGGATCGCGTCTTTTGCGTACTGACGTTCTCCCACAGGCCGTCCGCCAGCATGACGGATACTGCATCGATGCCTTCGATGTGAAGAAGAAGAACTTCATCTCACGCAGCGACGCAGACGAGGAATTTCTCCGCAAATACGATGTGGACCGTCGCTCTATCTTTGTCGGAAACCTGGCCCCCGACACCCAAAAGGAAGAGATCATGGATCTCTTCTCCCCCGTTGGCGAAGTCCTCGACGTCAACGTCATCAGGAAGCCCAACTATCATGGTCAGTCCATTGTCCCCCACCAGGAGATTCGGCCAAGGTACTAACCGACATGCAGGCCGCATCCAGCCTTTCGCGTTCGTCGAGTTCGCCAGGGCTGACATCCCGGACCAAGCGGTCCAAAACTTTGTAAGTTTTTCACTTCACACAGTGCACCACCAGTGGCTGGCCGGATTAGTGCTAACTGAGGCCGACAGCATGACACCTTCTTCCGCGGCAACCTGATCAAGGTCGAACGGAAGTTCTCCAAGCACGCCGGCACTCCTCGCCGCGTGAAGTCACAGGCGTTTTCCATCAGGTCGACGACCACGCCCAAGACGCCCAGGACCGCCGCGGCCGGCAGGTCGCCAATGGCTTCCGGTAACCGCTTCTCCGGCAGAGATCAGACGTCGGCCCCTCCCGCCCAGCAAGGCTATAACCACCCCGCCGCCGGCCCACCCTTCGTCCCCTTCGGCTACCCCGCGCCGAGCCCCCGTGCCCCGGCCGACGGGCAGCCGCTGCTTGGCGCCAGCGGCCTCCCCGTGACGCCCTCCGCCACTCCTTTCGGGCCCAACCCGTTCACCTACATGGGCGGCTACTGGCCTAATGTGGCTTTCGGCCAGGACGCCACCACCGGCCACACCTACTGGGGCTACAGCCCCGTCGACGCCAACAATTCGCCGGCTGCGCCGGCCCAGACCCCCACCCGCGGCGGTCCCCGTGAGAGCCACCACTTCCACGGTGGCAATTAAGAGAAGACACCTCGCGATCTTCTCTCTTCCCATGTCATCTTACAACTGTCAGACGTACACAACATCGGTTCCTTCCATCTCTCGTCGCCTACATTTTTTTTTTTTTTCAATTTCGATTTCTCTTTTTCGTCGGCGGGGAATACCCCGGTCGCCCACTGTCGGTCGGTCACGCATCTCCCCTTGGAGATGAAGACCAACACTTTTCTGGACGGAGACCTGACCAGTCTCCGACTTCGCGCCTGTAACTGGCGGTTTACGACTTTCACAACTTCTGTCTGCTCGGTCCATCGACGACCTCGGGCATTTCATGACGGGTTGATAGAAGTCCTGATGCTTCGGTATCCTTTTTTCCGGCGTCTCTACGTCTCTCTTTTCCCTAGTTGCGGAGTTCATGAGCCGCTTTCGTGGCTCGGTTTGGCGCATCACGTCTGGACGACGACGGGTTCTCATGGGCGGGGGCGTTGGTGTGTAGAAAAAAATCTCTTTGTCAGTTTATCGGTTCCCTGGCACAGGGCGCGACGGCGGGCGACTTGGGTCGCCGACGCCAAGTACAGGCGCCAGGGAAGCAACCTTGTCCTATCTGGGTTTCCATCTTTTGTTTCCAAGAGTTTGGGAACTGTCAAGTCCTCGTTAATTTGGGAGTAGCGCGGGGGAGTTATGGTTATCGAGATGTATCTACCTCGAGATGACTCGACATGGCTTCCTGATGTTGCTATCTCCCTCCACAAGAGGCATGAGATAAATTCAACTGCAATTTCATTTCATGCTTGGTTCGGTCGGTTGGTGATCGTGATGATGGTGGTGGTGGTGATGAGTAAGTGCGCAACTAAGATGAAAGCTAACAGTTCGAGTAACAGCGAAGGTGGGTTGTTCAGTGGGCCAGGCCCTCAACAACGGCTTAGCGCCACCCAATTCTGCCAAGGACAGTGGGCCGGCCCCCGTTGCAGCCCACACCCCCACGCACAATCACCTGCAGTGGATGGTTTAGCCTCCTGGAATTGGTCTTTGGCCCTGAATCTATTGGTCAGAGCCTGTGAAAAGTTCGGCGTAGGACCCGAGGCAGTGGGCTGGAGAAGTGAAGGTCGCAGGCGGCCTTCAAAAGCCGCAGCTCCCACATTAATTGGGGGTCTCTGTTTCATTCGAAGTTAATTTACTAGAACGCAGGAAAACAAAAACCAGAAGAGGGTCCAATCGCTTCTCATCGCATCAGCAGCACCAGCATCAACATCAGCATCAGCAGCATCAAACATGGGACAACCGTCCTTCGAGGCGTCCAACGCCCTCGTCTACGTGACATATGGCGTATTTTTGTGAGATTAAGCCTGAGGATTTTCTGAGGGAATCCCATTAAGTTGTATGAGAAGGCCCTGCTAACGTTATTCATGTAGGATAATGGGGACAGGCGTTGCCTGGAAGTTCAGGAACCAGAGCAAGGGCGAGTTCCTGGCGGGCAACAGAACTCAGACGGGTTAGAACATTCATCTCTCCCAGCTCGGGCGAAGAAGCGAGAAAAACCCATAATTCCGCGTCCAGCTGATCTCTCTTTTGAAGAAGGGATGGAAACTAACCACCACCATTCACAGCTCTGCCGCTCGCCCTGAACTTCATCGCGTCCGGTGAGTGAGCAGTTCGGTCCGAGAACGCCCGTCGACGGGCCGTTCCAAAAATTAGAGCGGTAGCAACGAAGCAACCGAGAAAAGCATATCGGCAGGCAGACAGCGCTGCTCGATCGAAGAAAGGCGCTGGGAAACCACGGTTAAACGGCAGCATCACACGACTAGGAAAGCCGCAGGCTGACCACAGGTTCGTACCCAAACCTCACCAAGTTCTCGCCCCCTCTTGCCGCATCCCCGGTGTCTTTTCAAGCTCGCCTCTGGCGGTTGCGAGAAACTGAGGATGTTGGTTAAAGGGCGACGACTGCGGCTCACTACGGGCGCTGAGTTGAAGCGGGTTCGCTGGCTCCAACCTTTCCTACGGGCTAGCTTCAACCGACTACTACGGGGAAGCAGCGCGGCAGGCAGAGGAGAACTGGCATTCCGCAGATACAAAGCTGAGATTGTACCGTGATACTCGATCAAGTTAATGCTTGCGTGGGAAACGTGCTGCCGCTCTGATATCCCTCCCTTCTCCCCTTTCAACCCCTATGTTGATATACTAATCTCCACAGCCCTTGGATCCGGTATCCTTTTCGCTTACCCCCAGCTTGCGACGTTAGCTGGTGTTCAGGGTGTGGTTGTCTACGCCCTTTCTTCGGCTCTACCCTTGTTGATCTTCGCTGCGCTGGGCCCCATCATCCGACGCAAATGCCCTCAGGGGTTCGTTCTCACCGAGTGGACCAGGCAGCGGTACGGCACCGTTGCGGCCCTGTATCTCAGCTTCATGTCACTAGTCACGTTATTTTTGTACATGATCTCGGAGCTGTCCGCCATCGGGCAGGTGGTCAACCTTCTGACGGGCATTGATGGGCTGCCTGTGTTGATCGTGGAATGTATCGTTACGACCATCTACACCTGTAAGTTCAACCCGCTGGCTTTCTTTTGCGGAGAAAGATTGACTAACCATTCGAGAATAGCCGTTGGAGGGTTCAAGGTCTCTTTTTTCACGGACAATATCCAGGGAGCAATGGTCATGGGTTTGATCCTCATCGCCACTATCACCATCGGCGTCGAGACCAAGATCGACACCAGCCTGATTGAGTCCTCCGGCCTAACCAAACCCAGCCTCCTTGGATGGCAGCTCCTCTACATCCTCCCCGTCGCCATCCTCACCAACGACTTCTTCCTCGTATGTCCACCCCCCCGCCCCCTTCCTCCCTTTCCCAAACCCAACCGCCCGACTGACCAACCAACCACCCACTCCTCCAGTCCCACTTCTGGCTCCGCACCTTTGCCTCCAAAACCGACCGGGACCTCTGGCTCGGCATCTCCGGCGCCGTCGTTGGCGTGCTGGTGATCGTGACGCTGGTCGGCTCGACGGGGTTGATCGCCGCGTGGGCGGGCCTGTGGCCGGGGCCCGAGGACGCCCCCGTCGACGGTTCCGTCGCCTTCTTCGCCCTGCTCATGCAGCTGCCCAACTGGGTTGTTGGTGTGGTTGTCGTCATGGCTGTCACCCTCTCCACGGCGGCGTTTGACTCGTTCCAGTCGGCCATGGTCACGTCGGCGTCGAATGATTTGTTTAGGAATAAGTTGAATATTTGGTGGATTCGCGCGGGGGTGGTGTTGGTGATGCCCCGGTTAGCATCCCTCGTCGCGCGTTTGCCCGAATTCAATTCGTAGGCTCGGGACAGACGTTCCCGGTCCCCGCCCGTTCCTGTGACCCGACCAACCCGCCCAGAGGCCCTACAATGTCAGTTGTCAGGAGCCCCATGGTGGGGGGGGGGGGGGGGGGCGGGGCGAACAAGGATGGTTACCATACAATACCCAAGTTGTTGGCAATTTCTGTGTTCATCACAGCAGCTGATTGCTAATAGCTTACTAGCAAGCAGTTGGCCGGGAGATACATGAATACATGATCTCATAAGTGTATCTCACTAGTCATCCATTGTGCCGAACCTGCTGGCTTGTTCAGACGAAGTGACGTTATTGTTAGCTGTTTGTCGTACTTCATCCGGAACAATGACAAAAATAGATTGTGGACATACTCCTCTACTGTATCGTAGACCGGGTGACGATGCATGAGCTCCAGGGAAATAAAAGGACGCGGTCTTTGTCAACAAACGCCTACTACGCCTTACTCTACTTTTAACAGGTTACATACACCGTTTCCGCTACAAAAATGCCGTCCGATAGCCATTCGAAAACCATAACGACCCGGGAGGATGTCCTCCTCGCAGTCACACACCTTCGATCTTCTACTGACGAACTCCGCGAAGTCGAGAGCCAGTGGGAGCCCATAGCCATGCAGCTCGCGACGGAGGTATTCGATAAAGCATCTGATCTGGGCATCGACGTGGACAACATATACGACGTTGAGCTCAGCCTGTTAGCGAACATCAGACTCATCGAAACGAAACTGAAGCAAAATTACGGAGCGCAATGGGACACAGCAGCCAAGACCCTACTCTCCGCGCGAGAGACGAAGCTGGCGGCACTCAGGGACCTCAGTAACACTCTCGACTGGGTGATTTCCCCCGAGCGAGCTGTTGTTGTTGAGCCAAGATCCTCGAGCGTGTCCGATATGTATGATCTGGAGGCCAAGATCAAAACCGGCAAGCTGCAGGAGAAAGAGCTGGGAAACCTCCATTCGCAGCTGCTTGCCACGGCAATCGCCGTGAGTGGGAAGACCTCGTCGCTGCAAGGTGAAGTGAGGAAGGTTAAGGGTGTGGCAGAGATAGTAAAGGATCTGCATTGGGCGCCGGACGACGCGCCTCTGACGGCGGTGTTGTTGTTTAACTAGTCCGGAGTGGGCCGGGTAATGTAAATCGATGAGTCTCTTTTCTTTTGGCCTAATCCCGAGTTCGAGCGTGAAATTAACGTGGCAATAGTTGGGTATTACACTGCTGTTGTTCTTACATGAGATGCGACATTCTCGCTCCCCTAGGTACTGCGTACACGTTTATGTACATCGCCATCGTACACCCCCCCTTTAGCCACCGGGCCTTACTGCCCACTGGGACTTCGGGGATACGAGCCTCATGAAGGGCCTCATGAAGGGCCTCATGATCGTACCACTGCTTCCATGATCTTCTTGTCCTTAGCCCACGACTCCAACGTCGTGGGCTTGATGGTGCCGATGATGCGCCAGTCGTACTGCTTGTATCCGTTTTTGGGGTCTATCAGGGTCGCAATCGTCACATTTTCCACCACATCCATCTCCTTCTCGCTCCCCGGGATCACTAGGCCCGAGGAGTCGTACACACCCCTGCGCTGCTTGCTGGAAATGGCCACTACGACCTGCCGGATGATCGGGGACCCGCGCTCGCGGTCAGTGGGCGCCAACTTGTGCGACTTGATAGACGGATAAAACAGCTTGTTGGTGTATTTTACTAGCTCCCAGCTGTAGCGGCGTCCTCGGGGACGGCTATCGATGCTCGTGAGCAGGGTAGTCGCGAGCTTCCTCGCGCACGTCTTGTTTATGGCTAGTTTGTCGCCGCTCGCCAGACCCTCGAGCATGGAGCGATGGAGTGCCTTCGCAGTGGGGATGAGTGACGATTTTTTGTAGTCGAGAGCGGCCCGCTTGAAAATGGTTGGTTTGGAAGCGAAGCGAAATGTTGCATTCAAGATGAGCTCTTGAACTTTGGCACTGGCCCAATTCCATAAGAGTCGGAATTTCTGCCCTAGTGGTTTAGGGAACTGGGATAGAGGAGGGAGGACAAATGTCCCTTTGACGCAGCATATTTAGTCAGCCGTTGTCTCGCTTCTGGCTCTCAAAAGAGTTCTCAAAAGAGTTGGAGGTCAGAACACACATACCTGGTAAGATCATTGAGATGGCCGCTACCATTGCTTCGTTCAAGCCGCTCTCCTGAATCTTTTGCTGCGAACTGACCATAGGCGCACTTCGCTGCTCAACTCGTGGTACGCCTGCTTCGAACATAGCGTTCCTTCCCGGCGCTTTTGACCTCGGCTGGGATGTGGCGAAGGATGAGGCACACGGTAGCCCTCTCGCTCGAAAACTCGGCCGGCTGGGGAAAAGGTGTATTGCGCTCGCCGGCCCCGTCACTACTCTGGCTGGCAGCAGCTCGCGGGCGCGCACGCCCAACCTTGACGACGACATAGTTGCCCAGGTCAATCGCCACCCCCGTCACCGATTATGCGTGATCCTGTCGCCGGCGTCGGGAGCCCCTGTCGAGAATGCGCCGTCGGGACAATATCCGTCGTGGATGTGGTCGTGGTCAGAGCGGGACATGCAAGAGCTCACGCACCAAGTGAAGCTTCAAAAAAATCCCAATCGGCCGGCCCTGGCTGGCAATGACATGCGGGGCATTGGCAGCAGATGAACCAATAAGCATTATGATTTGTCCAAGGGTGCGCTATCAGGGAAGTCCCGGCAAAGGCCGAGCCGCAAGAACCGCCCTTGCTAGCTAAAGTACGTACCTAACTAAATGGGGTCGGTTGCCAGCAAGGCATCTCAAAGCGCACCGCCCATTTCAACCGGCCTCAAGTTCGCCGTTCTGGCGTCCTTATCAACGTCGGCCCCCCTCCTCCTTTCGTCCCTTGGCCGTCTCGGGTAGCCACTGGATTCCATGCTCCATGGGTGAGGAGACGAGTCTTGATGTACAACCGCGCGAAGCCAACCGCGCACCAGCCGCGGGCGGATAATCGACACAACAGCCCTACCCACCACGGCACCCACACTGCAAAGAGCTCCTCTTCCGAGTCCCGCCCCACGGCTCCAGCCGCCCTGACCGTCAAACCCGGCTCTAGCCATGCCGCACACGTCCTAGCACCCGGCTCCGGCTCCGGCGCCGGGAGCAGCGCCGCAGCACTCACACCACCGCTGCCAGAACAAACCGCCGGCGCCGGCCCCGTCCGGTCGACCCTCCTCCAACCTCGTGTAGCAGTGGCTTTGGGCGTCTCCAAGAAATTGGTACCCCATCCTCTTCCTCTGCCGCCTAGCCTCGATCGCCCCCGGCGTGCTGTTCGGCCTGCCCAACGCCCTCCGACTCCTCGCCATGCTCCATCTCATGTATCTCGACCGGGTTCTGGACGGCGGCACACTGAGCAAGCTTGGACGTGGGACTGGAGGGTCGGCGGCGAACTCCTCCTCCTCGACATCAGGCTACGACCCAGAGTTTGAAGCCAGGCTGCGGCTGACCGAGGCGCTGCTGGCCACGATATGGGTGCGTTCCCTACCCCCCTAGCCGGACCCTTTTACTTTACCCACGATTACCCCCACTAACCCTGTCACTCTCAACCACAGTGCTGCGCATCCGGCTACCTCTCCTTCTTCTTCACCGACTGCCTCATGTCACGCTGGCTGCTGCATTACACGCCGCAGGCGACCATTGTGCGGTTACTGACGGTGGACGCAATCAACGGCTATCTGACATCGTGGGTGCTGCACTTGACGGGTGGGTTCGAAGACCCGCGGCTGATCCTGCCGGCGTGGATCGTCATCTCCACGGTGCGTAGCAGTCACCATCCCTCTCCCCCTCCCAACGTGCGCAGAGAGCGAAGCTAACCTAGTTTTCCCCAGACGTTAACCGTCCTCTATCACATCACGCAGCGCAAGATCAACATCCGCAAGGAGACGTCCATGTCGATCAGCGTGTTTTCCATCGCCAGTTTTGTCAGCATGGTGGCTCTGCTGGTGCAGCTGGACTCGAACCGGTCCGACTACCCCGACATCCCGCTGCTCAACCTTGTCCGGCGAGTGTTCCACGAAGCCGGCAAGCTGGCAATACGCATCATGGAGTACGGCGATATCACGAGAGAACTATGAGCGTTGTTTTCTGGGGTGGGGATAGGCGTTTTTTTCGGCGTTGGTGTATCCCAAGGCCACTGTCTTTTTCTTGGATTATGAGCATCTCGCACAGCATGACACGATCAAAGCGCACACTATTAGTACAACATTGAGGGTTACGATGGGTGGACATATTCTGTATGAGAACAAGCAAACATGATCATTGTCAACACCGTCATGGCCCAAGAGGTCGTCAACGAATTCCATTGCCTAAAATACGAGGCCCGCAGAGGTTCAACGATGGACATGCAGGCCACGGCCGTCCCGTCAACTAGAGCCGAAGGATCGATCATAAGCAAATGGCCCGAAGCACCAAAAAACCCTCCCACTCGACGTGCTCTCCGGTTAGGGAAGAGGAAGCCCATCTTCCAGCTTCCGGGTATCATGTTGTGTGCCGCGCGACCCTGATAATTGGCCCTCTCATCGCTCAGATATCGATATAAGTTTCACTTCTATGAGTGAAGCCCCGCCCCGGACGTCCCACTTTGGGGCTCGGGCCGCTGAGCAGCGGCAACACAGACATGCCCGTCTTAGAAGCCGTGGATCTATTGGGCGGTCAGCGCTTGTTCATAGACAATCATGGGTTTCATTCATGATGCGTACCTTGATGGTCTTCTCGTCGAGACCCAGACCCTCCTCGTTGTTAACGAGGAAGTCTTTGATCTTGAGGCGATGGTCGCCCTGGAGTTGGATCACCTCTCCCATGCCCTTGGACTCGGTGCTGCTGATGATGGTTCCATTGCAGGCTGAGTGGCGTTTAGCGTACAGTCATCCCAACCGTCGGGCTGCGAAACATACCGAACTCCTTCTTGATGACCTTGAGAATCTTCTTGTGGTCGAACTTGGAAGGGATACCTTGAACGGTGGTCAAGGTCTTACGTCCATTACGCTCTGTGATACATTGGTCAGGCTAGAGTTTTCTGACACCGCCATCGGTTGTGGCGAAGCCCGAGGGTCACGCGACAAAAGGGCGGCAGCGGGGCATCGAAGGAACATACGCTGAATGCGAATATGGATATATTCTTGGGTTTGGGTCGTCTGTCCCGAGTCTTCGTCGGCTTCCGCGAAGGGGTCTAAACGATAAACCAAGTCAGCGATTCTGTCTTGTACGCTGAATGACGATTCGAGGTGGGTCGTCGTATAGTCGTGGCGAAATGGAAGCGCTCGGTCCCACCAGGATACACGTATCCATCGACAGTGTCACGTCGTCAAAGCCATTGCAACGGCAAAAGCAAAGAGAGACGCGTTCATTAAAAAGAGGCATAAATGGGAGAGTGACGTACCGCGGCTCTTGAGATTCTGGATCTCGGTTTCGCCTGACATAAACTCGGAGTTTTTGGGGTGAACTTGGGAGAAGGTTTGTTGTAATGGAAGGTGGAAGTGAGCGACCGACGACTGTAGTAGTGTCTCGCTAATCGGATGTGTTGATTGTTGAGTTGTGGTGATTTGAGAAAGTTTAAAGAGGGAAACCGGGTCCTTTTAAGCTTCGGCTGCTCAGAAAGTGATGTTGTGGATGGCAAAGTGGTTGCAAGAGGGAAGTCGGTGGAAAACAAGAGGTGAGGGGAAGAGGCTAGGATATGTGGGGTCCCTCTGGGGCGCTGATTGTTCAAGGCCACAAGGCATGAACGGGTGGCCACTCAAGACTGCTGATCTTGTGTGGCGGTACCAGCCAAGTCTCCCGTCCGAGCATCTCAACCAAAACTCGCCTTGGGTTGCCTCTTTGGTACCTTGAAAATACCTGCCCTAAAAATGCGGCACCCAGCTGCAGCGCACCTGACGTTTTCGGGTCGTTTTGCGGCACCATCTTTCTCAATCAGTGCTTGTGATTTGACAAGGCAACTCGGCATCTGCTGCGAGGGCTTGAGAGAGGGTTCCCTCGCACACAAGCAGCTTATCTTGTGTGGCACAAGCGGCTGCAACCTGCTCTTCCTCCACATACAAGTATCTCTCTTCACGGTGACTCAATATGTTCTATCAAGTGCCCCAATATCATCTTGGCTTGGAGCGGGCTGGAGACCATGGTCCCGGCAGCGGGGGTGAGCCGGATCCGGGGCTCGATTACACGTATAGTTACGTTACAATACCGGCAATCCACATACTTGGAAACTTTCCGATGTTGAGGCTGATCTTCGCACTCACACCCAAGTTGAGTATCACACTGTTGACGAATCGTATGTATATGCTGTTTTTCATAGTTTTAAACAATTCAAATCCAAATTTGAATAAACCATTAAGCCGATTCCCTACTGTATAATGTTGACATCATGTATCGTTCGGTGCCCAAACAGTCAGAGGAGTTGGTGAAATACCACGTATTGTTGAGGTGGACACCCGAGAGACCCCACAGCCCGATTTTGCCCCTTGCATCGCCCTGGCCGTCGCCTTCCCCGCCTGGGTCTCGCCTCGTGCGGCCGGTATCAGCAGATCCCGAACCCGAAAAAAAAGTAAAAAAGAAAAGAAAAGGAAAATGGGTTTCGAGCCAGAAGAGTTGGCGGCCGACAGCCCGGCCATTGTTATCGAAAAAGCGAGTTGCCATGAAAGTGCGCATAAAGATGCAAATGCAACCAACTGGCGACCGTTATTTCGCCACCCTTGCTCTTTTGGTCCAGCTGAGTTCGGCCATGTCTTAGTCAATTTGATCCAGAACCCCAACATCAACTCTTCATGGCTCTTCCGTGCCAATATCCTTTATGACTCAGCCAAGCTTCAGCAATGCGTGGCACCAACCGAGGCCAATGACACATCATCCAGCGTGCCCAAACCTTCGTTTGTTGGCTTTCAGCTCCAGCGATGCATCATCCGAAAGCTCATCCCCAGAAACACGATCCGGGATCAACCTCTGGACCAAACATGCCTCATCTATGGGAGCGTTCCTGGGCCGGAAGATAATGGGTGTGGTGGGAGTAATGCGACTTCGGTTGAGAAGTCTCTCGTCATCTACCTCCCCCATGTCTCGGCGGCGTCCGAGATGCCCTTCTATCACCCCATAGTTCGGGGGATAGCCTTCTTGCACGAATGGGAGGCCGCCGAGTCGCGCGGGTGCATCTCCATCTCGTACCTCTTCTTCAATGAGGAAGACCGCTCTGTTGTGCGGCTTACGAGGACCGCCTTGCGCCTGCTCGAGGTCATCCACAAGCACGGCAAGGGCCGAATCGAGGGCTACCAGAAAAGGGTGCATCACGACCAGGTGCTGCCCCAGGCGCGCGTGCAGGACACATACACCCGCCTCAAGCAGAAGTACGCGCGCAGGTTGATGAAGAGCTGGGCGGAGAGCACCGACCCCGAGAAGCATGTCTTTGAAGATCTGTGCATCGCGGCTTTTTTGCTCGAACTGTGGGCCGACATGTATGGCCAAGGGCCGTTCCCGGGGTTTGTTGACATTGGCTGTGGCAACGGTCTGCTGGTTTACATCTTGAATCAGGAAGGTTTCGTGGGATGGGGCTTCGATGCCCGTTCCCGCAAGTCGTGGGCCACCTACAACACCAAGCTGCACACGGCCGCGGGCGAAGAGGACACTCTGCGGGAGCTCGTCTTACTGCCGCCTCCGGTTCGTAGAGATGGCCTTCCGGATGATTTTGACGAGAACCGCATCCATGACGGCCGCTTCCCCAAGGGTACATTTATCATCTCCAACCACGCCGACGAGCTCACACCATGGACACCCATCATTGCGACCATCTCAGAATGTCCTTTCATTGCAATCCCCTGCTGCAGCCACAACCTCGCCGGGGAGAGGTACCGTGCGCCAGCACCCAAGGACAAAACCAAGGCGGACTCGGCCTACTCGTCGCTGGTTGAGTGGGTAGCAGGCATTGCGGCAGACTGCGGTTGGGAGGTCGAGCAGGAAATGCTGCGGATCCCGAGCACCCGCAACGCAGCCCTGATCGGCCGGAAGCGTTCCGCGAACGGCGCGGACCCTGATATCCTAGCCATCGTGGAACAATATGGGGGTACCGCTGGGTACTTAGAGAGCGTGATCAAGCTGGTCGCATCTACGGCAACAGGGCACGAACACGGAGAATAAACAGCAAGATTAATATTTTTTCTTCAAGTCCAGACTTCTCAGTCTAAGTCGGGCACGGGGGAGGTGGTCCACCAGCTTAAGGTTGAGTCCCAGCTTCTGCAGCGCCTCGGTGGCCAGCTGGTCCCGGAGCTTCTCCGTCTCCTCCTGGGTCGCTAGCACGAAGTCGTGTTTCAACAGCCACGTCCCCTCCTCGACGCCATACTCCTCGGCTGTGGCCTTGTCAACCTTGTCGAGGTCGATCACCAGGCTCTGTTTGACACCGAACACGGCGTCTGACGTCTCGTAGGGATCGCCGCGTAGATAGAGGGCGCTGGCAGGATGGAATTAAAGTCAGCTTCCATGTTATCATGCAAAACAACCTTCAACAAGGGGGACTAGACTGACGTGACTAAGCGATCCCACCCGTCCTTGCCAAACATGAAATGCACGTGAGCTGGCCGCCAGCAGTGGCGCTTCAGCAGCTGCAGCAGCTTGCCGACGGGCCCATCGTGGGGGATGGGGTAGCTAACGGGCTTGAGGCCGCGGAACCAAAAACGGCCCTGGTCGTCCGTGACCATGATGCAGCGCTCGCTGGGGGCGTCGCGGTCAGCGTGCTGGACGTCGTAGTGGCCCGAGCTGTCCGTCTCCCAGATGTCGACCGTGACCCCCGGGACGGGCCGGCCATGCACGTCTTTCACCGTGCACACGGCCAGCATGGGCTCGCCCGCCGGGTCCGATGTCATGCTCGCGCCGTTGGCCAGCACCGGCGCGTCGTGGGTGTGGAACGGCCCCAGCACAGACCCCTCCGTCCCGCCCGGGGGCGTCGGGTGGTTGATGTTGTCAACCAGGAGTGAGAGGCCGAGCACGTCCGAGAGGAGGATGAATTCCTGTTACGTGCATGTCAGCATCCCATCACATCACACCACACATCACACATCATCACACCGCCCCGCCCAGAAGGAAGAATCAGTGAGTAACACACATACATTGCGCACATCACTACAAATCTTGCCGCAGGCGATCAGGAACTCGATGGCGGCGGTCCACTCGGCGGTGCTCAGGCGGGTCTCGCGGGCAAAGTCGTGCAGGTGGGTGACCAGCCGCGCCATCAGGTAGGTCAGGCGGGCGTCGGTGCTCTGCGAGTTGATGCGCACCGTGTTGGGCGTGATGTTGTCGATGGTCAGGTCCAGCAGCGGCGGGCCTGCTTGGCCCGGCTGTGGTTGGGGCTGGGACTGGGACTGGTTGGGGTTGGTTTGGCCGCCGCCCATAGTGATGGTTGTGGTTTGTGGTTTGTGGTTTGTGGTTTGTGGTTGGGGGAGTGGTTGTGGGTGGCGAGGAGGGGTGTTGTGGTTGTGTTGGGTGGTGGTGGTTATTGTTGACAGTGGTTGCCCGTCTGGCTCTGTGGCGGCTGAGTGGGTGACTTGGTATTCGATGAAAACAGAAAGTGGTAAAAGTTAAAACAGAGCGGAATCGCTTGGTTATATGTATGGGTGTGAATCTGTCGATATTTGTAAGGCCTGATCAATCGCTGATGAACTTGACGTGTAAAGCCGGACCAAGTAAGTAATGTGGATTCCAGCCCCGTCGATCGGGTTGGCGGCAAGGCAGATATGTTGAGCTAGTTAAACGAGTGACTCGGAAAAGGAGAATAGCACCCGGTTGATGCTCCAAGTTGGTTTTGCCTCCGAAGGATATTCGATTTGTATTCGTATCACTGCAAGGATCAACGTTAACTTGATCTAGAAGTCTGGTCCGTCCAGGGCCGAGACAGAGAGAGGGCCTGGCTGCAAGGGAGGTGTCAGTTCCAGACGAACGGGATGACCCCTGGTGGTGGGGTCCCCGGCAGGGGAGGATTGGGGGAAGGAGGGGAGGGGTTTCGGGAGTTGAGACGGGGTGGGACTGGAGGGGAACAGTGGAACAGTGGGGGAATGCACAGGGGAACGACAGGATGCAGCAGGGACAGACAGACGGGGGGCGGCGCATGCCAGGTTTAGTGCCGATCCGGAGGAACCATGTTGTTCCCAACGTCAACCACCGGCCATGGAAACCCCTTTCCGGATATCGGACCCGGTTCACGGAGATGTTGGTTCTCTCAAAGAATAAGACATGCATGATGCCTCGGGCCAATTTACCCAACTGAGGAGAAAAGAACAAACATATCCATTACAACAGCTTAACAGCAGAAGAGTCACCGTTAAGCAAGACAACCCAACACCCAACACCCATCCTTGCCACTCCGACATCCACCCCACCACGCGAGCAAACATGCAAACTAAAGGACCGATAATCACTCGGGCGGTTCCGGTGCCTCGGGCAATGCCGTCGGCGGCCTCCTCCCCTCCGTATGCGAGGAAACACTCTCCCTCGAATGCCTCCAGGAACCGATACTGGACGACCTGCTCACCGACGAGGGCGCAATCAAGCTCCCCCTACTACTCCGCGGCTTGCCCATCTCCCCCCACGACATCTTGTCGGACGCGTCGCAGTCCGTCACCACCACGCATGTGATGCCGCTGAGCCGGTCCGTGAGAACGCTGTCCGGACGCCCTGTCGGGATACAATGTTCTCTGAATTCCCGCGACGACCACGACGCGCGGTACGGCCGGGCTGCCCGTGGTAGGCTCCCCGTGCTCAGCCGTGTCCGCACGCTGCTGGTCCGGCTGTGGCCGCCGTGACTTCCGTGGCTGTGGCGGCGGACGCGGAGTTGGTTGTCAGCGGAGCTGTCGTCGGGTGTCTGGCCTAGCTCGAGCGCAGCAGCGGTTATGTCTTCGTCCTCGTCCTCGATTTTGGGGCGGCGCTGGATCGATATGACCGAAAAGCCCCGCGTTGGTGTCGGTGCTGGTGTGTGAATTTCCATGTCATGGTCGAAGAGCGTCTCTCGTGCCTTGGTTTCCATCTCGGTAAAGTACCGGACTCGTATGGGCTCCAGCCAGTCGGGGTCTATTATCTCGCGGTTTCTCATCAGAGACAGGAAAGAGGAGATTACGCTGAGGATGATCAATATCAACAAGGCGGCCACAGTCAGGGCCTGAATCACGATGATGGCGATGCCGAGGGCGGCTGCTTGTGAGCGGCTGGTGTTGGACTCGGGAAGGAAGGCAGTGGAGATGCCCGTCGTGATGATCTTGCAGATGCTGAGTATCCAGACTTCCATGGCCGTGTTGCGAGCTCCCTCAAAGGGGACCAGGCTGGCGGCAAGGACAAAGTTTAGAATGTCAAGGACCAGGACGCCGTAGACCTGTACGTGTGGGCTCTGCCAACCGGCCCCTAATAGCGCCGCGCGGCAGAACAGGTACCCGACGTGGTATGCCAGGAACCACCATCGTGTACCGCGGTACCTTGCAGTGAGCCAACCAAACTTGGAGATGAAGGATTTGTCGTGGTGAACGGTGAGCTGGTCAGGCTCGTTTTCCGTATGGCATACTCGAAACAACGGGATGCTGAACACGGGCCGTACCTCCATGCCATGCCTTTTGGCTGTGCTCTCCAAAATGAGCGCCAGGCCGGGGATCCTTCCAAGCATCTTCTCGTGATAGCAAACGACCCGATCGGAGCTGATCCCGAACCTACCTCCCCGGGTGCGGGTCCTGCAGCCGACCGCAACCTGGGCGGTGATTCCGACCAAGACGAGTGTAAAGACTACCGCGGCGACGGCGACAGGCCCGACAACAGTTGGCCGAATGGTGAACTGTAACACCGAGAGCGTCATTATCGCAAAGAAAGCGATGACTAGCGTCCGCTGCAGTGCGTGGCCCAGGTAACCCGTCCAGTGGTTCCGAAAGTAGAGCAACCGGTCCTCCTTGATCTTCTTTGTAAACACCAACACCCCAAGCAAGAACTTGAGGCTCGCAACGGCCAAGGTTACCAGCCCCATGGCTATCAAAACCCAGATCAACCCGACCAGAAATGCGTCAGCAACAGGGAGGTTAACCACTGACAGTGCCGCAGGGAAACCCTCCCAAGTGCCCGGTAGAGGTAGACCCGGCGCTGCGGGCCTGCCAGACCACGCGTAGTCACGGAAGAAGCTAGAGTTGAAGGCCGGCCCCTGACTAACACCATCCGACGACTCCTCATCCAAGGACCTCCCATACATCCTCAGCGGTAATCCGTTGCCAACCCCCGCCGCATCGCCAACCACTCCCGCAAATCCATTGACCGATCGCACCATCCCGGGCACGCCGATCAAGCCCGCGGACCAAGCAAAGTTCGACCACCACGCCGCCAACATCGGCGGCCAGTCGACCGCGAGCGCCCCCGAGAAGAAGACGGCCTGCAGCGTCTCGAACACGACCAGCACCGAGAGCGAGTGGGCGTGGTGCATGCGCATGTGCGTCACGCTGATGCCGTACGCCGCCGTCAGAAAGGAGGCGAGCATGGCTGCGAGGGTGAAGACGCCGAGGATGGGGCCGATCATCCAGGGGTGGGAGAAGGTGTGGTTGTTTGTGAGGGATGCTTGGAAGCAGCCGATTTCCTTGTGGTTTGGAGTGGTGGTGTAGATTTGTAGCTTGGCTGAGCCGTCGTAGTCGGGAAGGTTGAAGGGAAAGGTGGATAGGTCGATGGTTGACTGAACCCCCATGGGAAGGACTGTGCTAGCTGCTATGGGGGTGGCAGAGTTCATGGGGCAGAGGCTAGGCATGTCAGAGTCGGCTTTCTTAGTTGGGGTCAAAGTGATACCCGGCTTACCTAGTCATGTTGAGGCTACAAGGGTCAACAGTCATGTCAAAGCGGGTTTTGCCATCTGGAAAGTAAACATCAGCCCCTGAATGTGTCTCTGGCCGCGGAGTGTAGCAAAGCCTTACATCCGTCAATGGATAGGTGCACTGCAAACCGTTAGCACAGTTCACCCGTATACGCTCTCAGAATACTTACACATGACAAACTTATTCTTGACATTGCTAGTGCCTTCAAGGTGGAAGGCAACCGTCTCATTACCAGCATCGTAGGCAAGATCAAACCTCGTGAGAGCGAGCAGGCTCTGGCCGGCTAGACAATCACCGAAGTCGCCGGTGTAGAGCGGAGGTGTTGATCTGTTAATTCTTAGCATCGGTCCTACAGTAGGGACTAGGTAGGGCTGAGAACATACTTTTTGACTTTGCGAGCATGGCCCGAAGTGGCTAGGAGCAAGAGGAGAAGGAGAGAGAGGATAGGATAGAGGCGGTTTCGTGGCGCCATGGTAGCTTAACAGGCCCTGAGGCTCGAGTTAAAGGCGAACGCCTTACGCTGTAGCTGTCAGGAGGTTTGGTGTCCCAATGACCACGCTGCCAGCAGTGGCACTGCGCACCGAGGGACGGAAGGTGTTGTCTGTTAGCGGGCAGACGTGGGTATGTTTAAGCGTGGTGGCTGTCAAGAGGTTGTGATGGGTAGTGTGCGTCTGAAGGCAGCGAGTATCCTCAGTTGCCCGAGTCTCTAATCACTGAATACCGAATCCTCAAAAGTGTTTTGGTGCTGGTTGTTGCGGATAGGCCGGGAATTGGTCCCCAACGGCCGGTGCCGAACCTGCTACTGGCAGATGGAGATGCTTCAGCTAGGGTGGGTGGCGGAAGTCGGCCGAGTGCGTATTAACTAATTCAGACTGATATTGAGCATGTCGCTCGGTCTGAGAGACGTAAGAAACGTTGGAGGTCAGTTGATGACGAGCACTCCCGCTCCGAGTGTTTACAGGGTCAATTCTCCAGCACTCTATCGGTTTCTCGCTTCAAAGCCACTGACTTCGAAAAGAAGGAGACAACTTCCAGTTTGGCCGTTCAAGCAGTCCTGAGCTGAGATCTCCTATGACGAGGCGAAGCACTCCACCTGATCATTTTCCCCGGGCCAGCCCCCAGTGGCTCGTGTTTTTGACCCCATGGTCAATAGATCATCGGCTACGCGAAATGGCGCTCATGACCGAGACCAGTCTGAGTCACGGTCGACTCGTAATAGATTTATAGTTTTGCTAGCGCCAGCCGGGTCTTGGTTGTGCAAGCTATAAGTCAGACCTCATGTCCTGTCGAAGTTCGCCCGTTACGTTTGCTACGTAGCTCGGATTTATATCCAGTATCCCTCTCTGTCAACCGCTGGAGTGACGAAAAGGGAGGGGGTCCGGCTTTGATTGGCGCGTTGACCCCCTGCCACGGGGCGGTCCGCCCAGGAAATCACCCGTTCGATGTTGACAGGGCTAATGTTGATCACCCTTAAGAGCCTCATCAAATGTTCCGAAGCTACCGGAAAGCTGTGGAAGTTACTTGAACCGAGCTCTGCACTCTCGAGCAAGGCAGCCCAGCTGCCCCTGAATCACACTCCATGTTCAGAGACATTATTCACTCACGTCAACCGTCTTACCGTTTCATAGTTAGTTAACCAGTTATCCCGAATCAACTTGTGCTCATTATGCCATGGGTGAAGTCCCTCTATACTTGTACTTGGTGCCTAAGCAGAGACCAGTCCATAGTAAAAAAGCCAAGAGGACCTCCAGAAAAGCAACTACCGCGAACGCCTCGCCTTGCCATGTCAACAAGAATACCTAGGTATACCGATAAAAAGGAAAACCAGTATTGCAAAAATCGCGCTACACAGTGTTCATTCCGTTTCTTAGCCATAAGTCATGATGATATCACTGTCCCGTCCCATCCCATCCATTCCATCCCACCCCACCGTTCTCGCCCATCCATCCATCCATCCATCCCAGCAAACCCCCTCAATCCCCAACTCACTGCTCATCCTCCTCCTCAATCGGCGCCGGCGTGGCCCTCTCCCTCCTCCGCTTCGGCCTCCTCAGCCGGTTGCTACTAACCTGACTGGCCGAGTCATCCGGCGCGAGCTCACTGATATCATCCCCGCCCCACTCGCTATCCGCGCCATCCACGCTCTCCTCATCCGCCCAGGCCGGGCGATCATAGATGCCCGAGGAGCCCGACAGCGGCAGGACGTCGATGCCGCGTCCCCCGGGTCCGATGGCGCCGCCGCGGCGCTGCTGCAGGCTCATCTGGAGGGCGGCGCCGCGGCGGCGCAGGCCGTCGCGCACGGCCATGGCGCGGTCGTGCAGCTTCTCGAAGGCGTCCTCGAGCGCCTCCATGCCGCTGAAGATCTCGCGCTCGAGCTCGGCGAGCGTGGCGACCTCGATCTCCTCGTCGTGCGTGACGGCGGCGCCGCGCCCCGAGGGGTAGCTGGACGAGGCGGCCGAGACGCCACTGATGAAGGAGGCGGGGGTGGGCCCGCGTGAGAAGGACCCGAAGGGGGTCGTGGTGCGTGACATGGGTCGGCCGGCGGGGCTCATCATGCGGGAAGGGGGTGGGAATATGCCGCTGGCCGGGGTGGCCATGCGCGAGACGCTCTCGCCCACGTTGATGCCGTCGTCTTCCGCGCCCGACCAAAGGAAGCCGTCGAAGCGGCCTGAGGTGAGGATCTCCCACTCGGAGGCGCTGATGTCGGAGATGGTGTAGAGGAGGTCGTGGACGGCGGTGTATTTGACGAGGAATACGGCCGTTTCGGCATCGCGGGGTGCCTGGTGGAGGCGGTATAATCGTTGGAGGGATAGGCCTGACTTGACGATGAAGTCGTTGCGGGGCCGGCGGACGGGGGTTGGGGCGCGCACGGCAGATTGCACCTCCCGCGCGCCTGCGAGGAGAGCGTTGAAATAGGGTCGGTCTTCCTGCTCGAGGTTGGTGAGGATGGCGAAGGCTAGCGTCTCGTCGTCGACGTCCTGCGGTGGCGGAGCGGCTGTCTTCTCGCAGCCTGTCATCCACCTGTCGACTGCTGCCCGGACCCGTTTCGTCTGGCGGAGGTAATGCTCTCTAAATTCCTCGGCAATATCAGGATCCATCTTGACTGGTGATGACGGCCGGGGCGGGACATCGGCCAGATCCTCAACCGCCTTGGTGCTTAGCAGGGAGAAGTCAAACGGCGGCCAGGGTGGTAATTCTACTCTCCCGCTGACCCGCTCGAGCACTTCTCCCCATCCGAGTCCCCTGTGAGGAAGCCCCGACCGCTCACACATAAGGCAGGGGCAGCCATCCGGCGAGAGATCGCGAGAAAAGACATTCTCTAACCGGTCCAGCAAGCGCCGGGCGACCGTCCGATGTCCGGTGGCCACAGCAATAGAACCGTGGCCCGAAAGTACCGTCTGGTACTGGTTGAGGAGGTTCACGAACGGCGCAAAGAGTGTATCTGCGCCTTGGAGTGGTGGGTTAGACGGCCTTGTACCGTTTTGCCGCGGTAAAACGGAGAGGAACGTCCTAGGAACTGGTTGCGGCAAGCCACCATTTGCCATAAGGTAATCCACTCGTGGCACCTCTTGGAGATTGAGCGCGGGAGGAGGAGGCGGAGGCGGCGGGGGGGGAGGGGGCCCTGGCATAAATGGAGTTGCCGAAGGTGTGGGAACGTCGGATGTTGAATAGTGGTGCTTCTCCTCCGGCATGATAGGTGGCGGCGGGAACTGAGGTGGTGTGTGTGTTGGCGTCCTGGGTGAGACGTCTATCGCTGATTCGGGCGAGTAGTCTGCCATCTCGGTGGGTGCTGTCCGAACGATGGAACCGCTCCGTCGCGGAAGGGCTGTTGAAGTAGAACCTGGCTCGACGGTGGACGCGTCCGTTACCTCCGAAGTTGGCGCTGTAGGTTCCTCGGGGCGGGGAACCCTGACCGAAGGGGCCGGCCGCATGACAAAGGTCGCCTGGCTCGACACTTTTGAGACTCTGGATTTGGGTTCATGTTTGGACGTAGACCTCGACACCCAGGAGCCCCTCGATGAGGGCCTTGTATCCGGAGCGTCTGCTTCTTTCGCCGACCCTGGCGTCTCGGGTCTCTTCCTTTGGCCTGACAAGTCCGTCTCTGGTGGTGATGGCGGCCGGTCATTCTGGCGGGTGTCCTGGTGTGCTGTTGAGGTCTTTCGGGGAGCGGGAGGCGAGTCGACCGACTTGGAGCGGCGCATCTCGCTGCCGCCAAGATCAGTGGTATCTGGCGTGAGCGGATCCGACCGCCGGGCACCAGGCGAAGAGACATCTTCCTTGCTATGGAGAGCCTCTTTGCTGTGTGCCTTGCTGAACGATGGGTACGGAAGGCTCCCCCGTTCGCTCCCCATACCCCGAGCTAGCTCTGGCACCAAATCCACCATGGACCGCGAGGCCGCTGAATTGCCCTCCAGCTCATCCTTGTCCATGTCCTTCGTTCTGTGTCGTCGGTGGGATCGAGAGTGCGACTCGCTGTCGGTCGGCCTCAGCTTGGAGGATCTCGAGGAGCGTTGGGAAAGGTGCTGGTAGCGGTGGGAGGACGACAAGAGTGAATCCCTATCCCGGTCGCTATCGCGGTCTCTATCTCTGTCTCTGTCTCTGTCTCTATCCTTGTCTCTTTTCCGGTCTCTATCCCTCTCCTTATCTCGGTCTCGGTCTCGATCTCGATCTCGATCTCGATCTCTGTCTTTGCGCTCGGATTTGGATCGGTGTGGCTTGTCGCGCGGGCGATCGTCGACAATATCGACATCGCGATCTTTAGAGGACGGCATAATGGACCATGTCAGGGCGTGGCGCCCGCCTTAAAGACGGGGAATTGCGGCTGCGATTACCGGACGTAACTGCAACCAGAATCCTGGGTTGCGGCGCAGGCCGGGAGGGAGATGTTGGCCGATGTTGGTCGGGTTCGTTACGTCGTTAATGCTGCTGCGGAATGGGGACCAACCAGGGCCCTGTATCACCTCTTGACCTTCCAAGTCGCCGCGACGGTATTCCCCGATGCGGAAGAGCTGACTCGTTTATGGGAGACGGCGGAATAGCAAACTGTCGGAAGCTTGAACTGACTGGGTCGTGCCCAAAATCCATCGGTTCCTCCCAAGTCTCTGCCCTACCTAGTATTGGGCGGTGATGGCCATCATTGGGTGCCCAGGGTGATTCGGCCTGGCGTTTAGTACAGTGTGAGAACTGTGCACCCCGGCCTCTCTTGGTGGCTTGACCGCCTTTTTTTAGGAGGAAAATGAACAGCACAGTGCCTACGTTGCAATGCTACCAAAATATTCACTGTCTGATGTGTTCGGCTGTTTTACGAATACCGACCGCTTTGCTGCTGCTTCAACAAGTTTTGGTCCCGAACAGAAACAGCTCGATGATTGACGTCCCTCAACCGTTACCGCCGCATGAGACGTTTCTCGGCGGAAGCACAAAGAGATGCCCGCGGTATCACAGTATCACAGTACAACAGCAGTTAATATCGCCTTGTTACCTCCGGACGAACCTGTGTTCATCAGTTTTCGTCGGGAACTTTGAAGCAGCGACGAGGGGTTAAAGCTCAATTGGGTGGGTACATGGACCGACCCGACTCCTCACCTTTGCCCGCAATCCCCAAATGCGACCTCCACGTCTCTACGCGCTGGCTGGCCGCAGGATGCGGGAGAGGCGCCCAATAGCCTTGCGCGTTACAGCCGCCAACCGAGAATAGAAACCACGAGCACAACGCAGGACACGGGACGCAGGACGCAGGAGTCTTCGTGTCGGCTTCGCTTGCAAAGATGGCGTCTGAAAAAACCCGCAGTTTAGTTGAAACCTGGTTTTGAATTTCTTCTCGCATGCTAGGTAGCTATCTATGGGTGCGCCCTTAAGTTTGCAGCAACTCTGCCGCTCGCCGGCTCTATCGGTTCCGAAAACAGTCATAACGTCATCCTCCGCTATCCTCTCGCTTCACGAATCGAAGAGGGGCCTCAACCTCCAGAGTGGAGGGAGGCCTCGACGGCGATCGCACTTCCCCGCTTGCCGCGGGTCGGGTACCCTGGTGTTGACTCGACATAAACCGGTCAATCACTCTAGAATCTGTCTAGGAGACCCTGGCTCTCGAGTAGCAGAATGATCTGGTGCACGATGGACCGCACAGACTGCGTCTCTGCGTCGACCACAAGGTTAGGCTTGGCAGGCGCCTCGTACGGGTCGTCGACGCCGGTAAAGCCCTTGATCTCGCCTGCGCGGGCCTTCTTGTAGATGCCCCGCTTGTCCGTCTTTTCGCAGTACTCGAGCGAGGTCGCGACGTGGATGAGGTAGAAGTCACCGTACTTCTCCACCAGCTCGCGGGCAGACTGCCTGGCCTGCTCGAAGGGGGCGATCGGCGCGGCGATGACGGCAGCGCCGGACCTCGTCAGCTCCGAGGCCACAAAGCCGATGCGGGCAATGTTCTTATCGCGATCCTCGCGGCTGAAGCCGAGCTCGGAGGACAGCTCGTGGCGGACCGTCTCGCCCAGGAACAGGGACACGGAACGGCCGCCCTGCTGGTTCAAGGTGACCTGGAGCGCTCTCGCGATCTGGTCCTTTCCGCTGTTCTGGTAGCCCGTCAGGAAGATGGTGAAACCCTGCTGCGACCGCGGCGGGTGCGACTCCCTGAGCACCTTGACGACCTCGGGATACGAGAACCACTCGGGGATCTCACGGCCGCTCCTCAGCCGCGCACGCAGCTCTGTGCCGGAGATGTTGAGCGTCCGGACGCCCTGGGGGATCTGGTCGACGGGCGCGTACTCGTCGCTGTCGGGGAGGTACGTCATCATCTGGAAGGGAACCACTTCGATACCGAGCTCGTCGCGGTACTTCTCGACGGCATACTGGGCATCGTACGGCCCGTAGAAATCGACTCCCTTGCTGTTCTTGCCGGGGCCGGCGTGGTCACGGCCGACGATGAAGTGCGTGGCACCGTGGTTCTTACGGATGATGGCGTGCCAAATGGCCTCGCGAGGGCCACCCATGCGCATGGCGAGGGGTAGCAGGCCGAGAACGGCCATGCCGTTCGGATATCTGGGGAGGAGGGCCTTGTACACGCGGACGCGGGTGAAGTGATCGATGTCGCCGGGCTTCGTCAGACCGACGACGGGGTGGATGAGGACATTGGCGTGGTGGGATCGAGCAGCGCGGACCGTCAGCTCTCTGTGGGCGCGGTGCATCGGGTTCCTGGTCTGGAAAGCGACCACCTTGGCCCAACCGAGCTTGTCAAAGTGAGCACGAAGCTCGGAGGGGGTGTCTAACAGCGGCCAGTCAGTCTCCTCTCTCTCCCCAAGCCCACTCACGCCAAGATTGGGGCGCACTCACATCGCAGCTCGACAAAGTCATAGTGCTGCAGCCTGTTGACAGCCTCGAGCTTGCCGCCCACGTAAAAGTCCTTGGCGGTCTTGTAAAGATACTGGACGGCTGGGTGTTCCTCGTCACCTCCAAAGACCTCCTTGGCTTCCAATGCCCTATTTTGCGCGTGTCAGTCCTTTGTGTCACCCCCAACCTTGCCATTCTGCCACGCAATGACGCGACCCTTGGCAATTCTTGGAAAACGGCGACGGAGCTTACTTGTCGGGCTTGTAAACGTCCTCGACGGTGAGGATGGCAAGGTTGCGGTCGTCGCGGAAATCGCGCAGCGTTATCCTGGCGCCGGCCTTGAGGGAAAGCTCGTCGATGGTCGCCTGGTCTACGTCCAGGGTGATGGGCATGCTAAAGAGCGCGCCACTGGCGAGGCGGTTCTCCTTGACGACTCTGGGGAAGGGCGCATGTCAGTTTCAACACCATTGCGGAGGCCAATTGCTCGATTTTTCGGTTGAACATACCCATTGTAGTCCTGCTCGGTCATGAAACCTGCATTTGAGGCCGTCGGTTAGCTGAGACGTCTCTCGCGCACATGAATTGAGACTGTTAAGAAGGGCGATGGCGGGGTTGATTTGAACCCCACCATCCCCGTCCACGAGGCGCTGTGCGCCGCAACCGCGGGGTTTCATTTTTTTTTGGACGAACCTTCCAATGGCGAGAAACCGCCGTTTAGTAGCAACTCGAGATCGCAAAGCTGGCGCTCACTGAGGAGCAGCGCCGGGAGGGTCTCGGCCTCGGTAGAAAGCTCGGCATGGCGAGGCGAGTCCCGGGCGAGCAAGTCCTTGAGGACACCGCCGTGAGGAGAGTTGGCCATCTTGGTGGATTGGTCGGTTGCTGATCGAGGGGTACCGGAGCCGGGGATTAGACGAGACGAAAAGCGGCAATTCCACGAACTGTCGCAAAGAATATGGAGCGGAGAAAAGAAGACCAAGGTGTGCACTCTGGATTTATGACAGAGAAAGTTATCGGTCAAGGCCAGATATGTATATATATATATGTTGCAGATTTGCCGCGTTTCCGTCTCCGCGGGGACCCCAAGGCTCCGTTTACAAACAAGGTGATGGGCAAGTGAGCGGACCGACACTGCGACTTGGCCGGCAGCGAAACCCCCGGTAGCGGCGTTCACCTTTAATTGTGGGTGTCTGTACTCCTTACAAATAATGGGAATATTTGTCGCATTCCCCTGTGGCGATTCGTAATCCACGGACCACGGGCATGTGGAATTCCCCGTGATCCCATCCATGCCCATGCCCATGCCCCATGCTGGCGGTAGTGCAGGTTGATGTTTGGTTCTGAGTATTGTACGAATGAATACATGGGCCCAAAACAGAAAGCGAATGCAAGGCACATGGCACGCAACTACATCATCACATCTCCCGAGTATCCTTCCGAGCCCCTTTTCACGCGGCAGGCACATGTAACCACGGACGGGTGCCCTTTACCTCTGTCCTGAACCGGCGATCCATCGGAGAGGGGCCAGCCTGTAACATGGAGGGGTATTTTACTCGACTCATCCTCAACGGCTGGAAAAAGGGCGAAAACCTGAGACGGGCCCTGTTCAAGGTTTCTTAGCTCCGATGACGTGCTCAAGCAATGACCACTTTCGAGCCACTCGGCATGCCTGTCGAGCCTGCCGCCCACTCAATCGCCGGTTTGTCAGTGTGGGCCCAATTAACCAACCACAAACACCACAGCTCTTGCCGTCGATGAGCGATAAAAGCCGCGACAAGACACTCGTTCATCAAGTACAAGTATACTGTAACCTCACGGATGTCGGACTGACCGACTGGCCGACTGGCCGATTGAACTGACCGACTGACCAGACTTGGAATGCGAGCTGCCCAATCTCGAGCCAATCTCTTGCAGCACTGCAACGGGAACCCGGAGGCCCGAGGCTGGTTCGGCTCTGGGTTCGGTATTGAGGGTTAGGGTTATAGCGCATGTTTATAAACCCCTGAATGTAACTCGGGTTCATCAACCTCGCTCACGGAGTTGTCTCTCTCCGTGGCAGACAAGGAACTGAACGAATCAAAGTCTAAACATGACGGAACTCTGAATTAGCCATCCCGGGGTAGTGAAATACCCCTGCACAGCAATTGCCTATTCTCGAGCTAATCTGGGAAACAGAGAAAAGACAAAAGGCAAAGGAGACAACGAAAAGAAAGGAGAGACAAAGGCAGCCAGCGGATGCATCTGCCCTGTATGTTGAGCCCAAACAAATTGCAAGATAGGTAGACAACTTGAAAAAATAACGACCGAATACAGTTGAGTTGGGTAGACAAATAACCTTCCAGAGGCTCACCCGGCCCCTTAACCACGCAAACGCAACAGCAACGACATCAACGACGAAACCCCCCTATTCCTTCACAGCAACAACCCATAACACAACCACCCTCTCACCTCACTACCCCAACCACAACCTCCCAACCCTCCCATACCCTAATCTATCCCTCCCCGGACCCCCAACTACGGCGATCCCGGCCCGTGGTGGTGGTCCAGCGTGCCCTCGCCCGAGTTGAGCGGGTTGTTCAGTCCGCTAGGGGGAGCCGGCGCCGAAGATTGGGTGGGCTCGGCAACACTGCTGGACGGGCTGGCCGTGTCAGTGGTGCTTTGTTGCGGCTGTGACTGGGCCTCTGACGCTGTCGAGCCGATGGACTGGGTTGCTGAGGCGGATGTTGGGGAGGGCGGTGGTGGTGGTGGTGGATGATGTGCGCTGGATTGAGGGGTGATGCTGCTGCTGCTGCTGCTGCTGCTGCTGCTGGTTCCTGGGGCAGTTTCTGGAGGGTCAATGTCAGTCAGCACTGGGTCGTGTGCAAAGGGGGTGAGATGGAAGGGGTATCGGGGGCTGTCATACCGCTCAGGCTGCTACTATCAACCGCCACTGTGCTGGACGTGTTGTTCAGCGATGCGCCGGCCTGTGAGGAGGGCACCGTCACCGTGCGCAGCGTCGTCTCGCTGCAGGTCGATGAGAAGAACGTCGCGGCAGACGAGCTGCTGCTAGCGGGCGTCGTTTCGGTTGCAGGGACTGGAATGGTCTCTTCACATGAGGTTGACGACTCGCTCATTGGAGCTGACACCGTCTCTTCGCAGCTTGTTGACGTTGCCGCCGGCGCGGACACGGTCTCACTGCAGGATGTTGACTCGGTAATCTGGTTGGATTGTGTGGTCTCATCTGTGCAAGTGGTATCTAGGGGCGCGCTTGCTGTGCTGGTCTGGGACTGGGATGCGGGCGACGAGATGGTTTCGCCCGAAGTGCAACTTGTCGAGGCTGTTCTGCTTGCCGAGGCCGTTCCACTCGCTCCGCTGCTCGGCGAAGACACCGACGGGCCTGTCGATTGCGAGGAAACCATTGAACTGGTTAGGCTGCCTGAAACGGGAGGGCCGTTGGAGTTGCTGGCTATCGTGGTAGACGCCGAGGGTGTCCCGGTGATGGCCTCCACGGAGCTGGTTGACCGACCTGCGGTTCCAGAAGGCTGACCAGTAGGGCCTCCTGAGAATGTAGAATTCCCTGTCGGGAACGCGGGCGAAGCCGATAGAGTCCCTTTGGATGGCTTTGGTGACGCGGTCCCAGATCCAGGAGTACTTCCGATGGACCCCGGTGTTGTGACAACCGAAGTGGTCCCCGAGGTGGAAAGGGATACCTCGACCGGTCTGGTTCCGGTTGGGCCCACGCTTACCACAGTTGAGTTGGGGAGCGGGAAAGGTGCAGGACTCGACAAAGCCGACGATGGGCCTGGGGATCCCGTACCCGTATTGAATGGCGAGGTAAAGCCACCAGTTCCGCTTCCACCACTACCAGTTGGCAAAGGTATGCTAGAATTTGGCTGTGGGAAGGGTGCACTGCTTGTCAGGATAGCAGGAACACTGCCGGTACCCCGTACCCCCGAGCTTTGAGGTCCAGAAGAGCCTATCCCCGAGGACGGCGCCGTAGGCCCACCGGTAACAGTCTGGTTCGTGAGTGGGTATGGAGCGGAGGAGCTGTGAGAGGCAGCTGGTACCGTTGGAACCCCAGTCCCAGATCCGGCAATGGACGAGATACTCGTCGCGTTCGGGAACGGGAACGGCGCAGAGCCGGAACCCGTAGCAAGACTCGTTGGCGCTGTAGCGCCACCGCTTGTACGAGAGGCCCAGGTGCTCGAATTCGACAAGGGGAAGGGAGCAGAGGCTGAAGAAGCACCGGGAGGCCAGATACCTGTGCCAGAGGATGGAAGCGACCCGCTAGAAGATCCTGGACCGCCGGTGACTGAACTAGCACTGCCAGTCGGGCCGGCAGTCGGCCCCCCAGCAAGGGAAGAGTTGCTGATAGGGAATGGTGGCGTTTGTATCGACGTTCGCGAGCCTCCAGGCGGCCCTTGGCCCGATGGAGCTGTTCCTGTTGGCCAGGGCAGTCTTGTCGAGTTGGACAGCGGGAATGGCGCAGAGATCGACCCGGTTCCCGAAATCTGAGTGCCCGACGTTGGGGCACCGGTGCCGCTCACAGATCCCGATACTGGGCTTGTTCCGGTCGGGCCAACCTGAATCGTCGAAGAGTTGCTCAGCGGGAACGGTACGCTTGCGATGCTGCTGCCAGGGGGACCCCCAATGCCTGTCGACCTGGAGAAACCGCCCGATGGGCCTGTGCCCCAAGAAGATGATGTGAGTGCACCGCCCACTCCCGATGTGGAATTGGAGACTGGAAATGGGACAGTCGAGGTCGTACTGAGAGACGACGAAACCCCGGTGGGGGATGTAACTCCGGTCCCCGGTGCGGTACCCGAGGGCCATGACAAGCCTCCGGTTGAGTTGCCGACCGAGAAAGGGGGGGCGGTCACGGACGCTGTGCCGGATGCAGAACCGCCGCTTGTGCCGGTACCTGTGATAGACGCAGTTGCATTGGTCAACGGGAAGGAGGCCGAAGAAGCTGCCGAAGTCCCTGTCAGAGAACCCGTGCCAGGCGGGGCGCTGGTCCCCGACTCAAATTCGGCGCCTGAAGTTGACCCGATAGTTCCAGGAACTGTTCCGGAGCCAGATCCCGTGGCTGTGGTGTTACTGGCCGGGAGCGGTGTCGAAAGAGACGTGCCGGCGCTGGTTCCCGGGCCTGCTCCTCCCTGTGCCGAGGTTGTCGAAGGACTACCGGTAACAGAATCGGGAATAGTGTTCACAGGGATTGTTGGAGTGACCAACAAGGTGGTGGTCAGGTGGACAGTCCTGGTGATGTTAAAAGTAGTTGTGCTAACGGTCACGGTGCCGCTGACAATGTAACTCGTTGTTGGGATGCCAATGACAGCATCAACGCTCGATGTCTCCCAGACGGGGTGCTTGGTGGTGGAATTCGGGGGGATGAAGAAGCTGGAGCTTGTGGCCAGTGTGGCAGATGTGGTGCCCGCAATTGGAGACGAAGAACCCGATGTTGCGGCCGAGGTCGACCCAACACCCGTTGGTGTTTCATTAGACGAGTGAGCTACCGACGAATCTGCACCGGTACCTGTCGTACTGCTGAGCACCCCTGACGTTGTGGACAAAGGTGGTGTGACCCCGGCGGTTGTGCTCCCCGAAACTGACCCGGTAGCCGTGGGAGAGGTGTTGCCGGTTGTGTCGACTTCGGTCGTCGGTGTGGTTTGAGAACCTCCGCTTGTTAGGGTCGAGGCAGAAGACGTGCCAGCACTTGACGATGCAGACCCTGTTTGAGACCCAGTGCCGGTGCTACTTCCAGAGGGAGTTGACGATAATGAATAGCCGCCACTCTCCGTTGTGCCGGCCCCGTAGCCCTCGCTTGATGAAGTGCTCGAACCAGCTGGTGTTTGCGAAGATGAAGTTTCCTGGGACGCGGTTGACGAGACAAGACTTGGAGGGGGTCCATATCCTGGCTAGGTTAGCGAACATTTTCTAGGGAGTTTGATAGGACTCACCACCCCAGGTCGAAGTTGATGATTCTAAAGCGGAGGACAAAGACGAAGTGGACGAAGATGACGAGGATGAAGAGGAAGAGGACGAAGAGGACGAGGAGGATGTCTGTGTAAGTGGCGGGGGCTGAAACCCATATGGTGGATCGTCGTCTTGTTCCTCTCTCGGCTCGATACTCTGATAGTGCATGCGGCTACTGTCTCCCGACTTTGGAGAGGAAGCCTTGCCGATGGTTTGCCGGAAACTGGACCAGAGACCACCATGATACGCCAGGTTTCCTTGTATGCAGCCCAACAAGGTTATGGCCGACGTGATGCCACCAAAAAGGCTAGAAGGCCTCATTTTGGAAGAGCAAAGTCAAAGTACGAACAAAAGCCAAAATGTACTGGGTAGCTGCCCCTTGTAAAAGGCGGGAGAAACGAGAGGGTTATGACCCCGTTCATCCAACAAGAGGCAATAATAATAAGTGTTGCGGAGAGAAAATGAGTGAGTGATGTTGCCCCAATTGTTCATGAATTCATATGGCAAGGGGGCAAAGCCATCTGATTCCGCGGGTGCTGGGAAACGAGCAGAAGTTCACATACCAGACCAGCGAGGAGGCGGGTGGGTGATATAAATGGAGCAGCCTCCTTCTAGGACTCCCCCGGGGCATAATCTCCTTGTGCCGCATCGGTGGGGGATGACTAGAGGGATGTCGCCCAAGCACAACGTAAATTGACTGTGGTTGCTTCCCAGGGAGGAAGGGGAAATCTCCTTAGTCACACGATGTCGACGAGAGATGTGACTTCGTTAGTATCTCCTGATGTATAACGTGCACCGCTGAGCAGAAATACCTTTACTGCAGTCCAAACAATTCCCACAGCCGCCTTTGACCCGCGAGACTCGGAGAGGTGACATGTCGATCCGAGCATTGAACTGGCGCGACAAAATGACACCTGATGACCCACAAACGACCGATTGTGTGGCCACCTGTGTTTGAGGAACTTCGAATAATGTGTTATAAACTCTGATCTGGGAAGCACAAGAAGTGGTTGAGGCACATGAGACCTCGCAACCGCCGAGGTTTCCTCTGGCTGGGTAGCAAGACGGTCTCGTCGAGTAAAATTCGGATAGATTATAGGGGCCCTAAACCTTGCTAAGGAGCCGGAAATCCCGCTTCTGTCTTAAACAAACTTGTATCAAAGTTTCGCCCCGGTTGCTTTTCAGCATTGTGCTCTGTTAGTTGTCAGTATTAACTCTCCTACATGGCTCTTCCAGCCTGCCTAGGGCACAAAACCCCCCGCTAGGTTTGCAACCCGCCGACCGCGGTTAGGCCGCGCAGTTGATGTGACAACTCACTCGGGGCAAGGTCACCTCGAGGGGCAGTTTCTGTTATACACGACTGAGAACCAAGCTTTTGATCGAGGACCAAGGCGCAAAGGCCAGCGAGCTAATGAGCAACAACTGCTGATTTCTGTTGCCACCGGGCCAAGTTCCGTGCAAGTTACACGTCACCTGGGCCGACTAAGATACGGGCGTTATGCGGGTAGCCGGTGGCCAAATTATCTGTTCCTGCATTGGTGTGTCGCACATCGTTCGCGGTCTTTGGGTGTAAAACGCGAGATATCAGCCAAAGTGGGCAGTTTCGGTCATTCCGTTGGACTGTCCAGGTAACACCGGGGGGTGTGAGATGTCGTCGACCAAGAGAAAGGACGAGAAGGAATTTTCTCAGTCGGAGCCTCGGTCCGATCAGTCAGTTGTGAGCCTCGACACTGAAAACTAAGGTTACAGAGTTTCAACTAATCGACGAAGATAGGTGTCAGGCTTTGTGCACCCCCTCTGTGACCTCCGATGTATGCTACAGAAGGAAAAATGTGAGGGGGACTTCAAGATGGAGGCGGTTGGTGGTGCAAAAAAGGACCTGGGGCAGTGGGGGAGGGGGGGGAAAGGGGAAAGGGGGGATGAGTTTAGTTAGATCCGGGCCTACTCAGATGTCCTACGCCTGTCTCGTCTTAATTATATATGTACAGAGGCAAAGCTGAAACGAGGCTGAACTTACAACAAGGTCTAGGTTTATTCAGATATCCAACGCGCTTCCGAATAACACATGCATAGATTCTCCCTCGGCCGGCCGAGACACTGTGTGTCGATGAGAGAAACAGGTACGAGAGGCGCCTTGGGATACTCCAGGCTGGCGATTCAGTTTGAGATGAGAAAGTAAAAAGAAGCATCAAGTTGCCTATCAATTTCGAAGACTTGCCACTGCGCTCAACCCCGGGTCATTGCTGAACAAGAAGTTTCGTCCTACCTAGGTAGCTCAGGGAAACTTGATACGCAATGCCCTCCGCTTTGGGGCCTTTTTTCGAGCTGCAGCGGGGGCACGACATACTCTGCTGTCAACCTGTTGTGCATCCTCGTTTATCTGCCGTCACCGCCGATGCTGTCCGTATGCGCGTTTGTATCAGACTGAGATCATGCAGAGATACCCCCGGCCGAGCATGCGATCCCGCATGACGATGATCCTGGCAATATGCGCAGGTAACCTCTCACTCGGCTCTCTTCGCCGCCTCCCGCAGATCCGGTGCCGTGCTACCGGCTATCTCGTTTTCCTTAGCCTCGATATCAGCCGCCCAGAGGGCAGCGCCGACTGTTATCGGTGGTTAGCGGGTAAACGGACTGTAGCCATTATGGAACTGGAGCTTGCCTGTGTTGGTGAAGGAGAACACGACCGAGGCAACAGGGATCATTTCGAGGAGGGTGGCAACTGTGCCAAATCTAGGTGGCCGAGTTCAGTCAGCACATGCGTTGCAATGAGGGTTGGACATGGCCCAAAGGAGTACATGGGACATGAAGTATTGGTGAACCGGGCTTGCCCACCAGTTATTGCCATCCTCACGTACAACCAGTATAACTTGGGAAAATGGAGACCACTCACGCAGTATAAGGCCCCTTATGTTCCTCGACCCATTTTGACTTCCTGGATTTTGGCCACCCCTTCAGCTGAAAGTACTAGAACAACGAGTAAGCTTCTGCCGAGTGATACACACAGACTCGACTCACCCGGTCATGAACGGAGTTGCCACGAGATCGCCCTGTTGAGTATCAGTCACACGTTCCTGCCACGCGCCATCCGGATTCTCACCTCGCAGAAAGATGAATGCGATGGTACCCACGACTGCGTCATCAAAGTTAGCGTTCTTCGTGGATACGCAAGGTCGGGTGCACTGGAAGCCGTACCAGGGATGAAATTCAGCGGCAGATACATCACATATCGGATCAATTCGTTGACACTGAAACGCGCGAAGGGCTTCTTGAGGGCCTTCCCGAGCCTCTGGATAGAATCACCTCGCGCTTTCAGCTCTCTTCCTTCGGCGACCACCTTGGAGTTGTTCCTAGCCATCAAAGTGCCATCAAAGGTATCCATAATAGCCTCCTGCAACAGGTAGTTCTTGGAGATGATGCCAGTGATGGTTGAGCTCTCATTCAGGATTAGAAGAGCGGTTGTGAGAACGGCAAGCGGCCCGTTGACGAAGGCCATGACAGCAAGCTGCGGGATATAGGTGAAAAAGAACATGGATCCCAGCACGCTCGAGTAGAGGGTCAGGTAGGGGAGCAACTTTGAACGCAAAGGTTTCCACAACTCGGGGTGGGTGACGAAGTAGAAGATCCCCTGCAACGATCAGTCATCCCCCGTTTCGGTTGCGCGGTAGCACTTGTGTTGGTGTGTGTGTGTGTATGTGTGTGTGCGTGTGTGTTAGGCCTACCTTGATGGGATACAAGTAGGACCCGCTCTTCGCGGCATGGTTGAGAAGAACTCGAGCCTTGTCGTAGTCCTCCTTTCTGAAACAGAAACGCGTCAGCTAATGGATAGAAGATTCCTCGGTATCGCGATGGGGCAACACACGCGACCTCTTGGGCCTTGCCCGCAAGTCCATTCGCCATCGTGAACCCGTGGTTGACGTGGTAGTTTTTGGAGCTAAATTCGATTGGGGTGATGGTTCTTGCAGCGTCGAAAACACGAATAATAAGTCTCAGGGGAATATTTCCAAAATGTGTTGTTGTTGATTTTGGTTTCGGGTTTGGTTTTGGTGTTGGTGTTGGCGTTGAACCTGGGTTGCGGGATGTTGAAGCTTGGTTGGATCGAAGGTACCTATGTC